GTGCAAAGTACCTACAGCTTTACACGTCACGAGGCACACTGTTCCTACTCAAGTTAAGTATAATTGCATCCTACGGGGAGCAAATCCTACGGGGAGCAAATCCTGGGCAACGAATTCTACAGAAAAGAGCATACTAAACCCCTCTTCAACACTCACGAAATCATGAATGTGCATAATCTGTACTTCTACCACTGCATTAATGACATCTTCAAGGTCTTGAAATATAGAACCCCTATATCACTTTACTCACTCTTTGAAACATCTGGCAGACTTGGCAAAGAGACACTCATTCTCACACCTAAACCATCAGACAGCTACATATATAGAGCAGGGACAATCTGGAACACAGTACGACAAAATCTCATGCTAACTACATTCACCTGTTATAAGCCCAATCACCTCAAATCATCCATAAAAATAACCATCGCTCACACTCAAAAGGAAGGAGAACCAAACGACTGGAACTTAGCCTTAAACAGTGTTCGACAAAATTCAAAAACTTTAAAATTGACCTTGCCTAGATTACTTAAGCTTACAAAAGCTGTAATATCTTAGCAAAATATAACTTGCAGCAGCCCCATACCTTGTCATGAACATAATATCGATACTACCTCTGTGATCACATCTTTCTCTGGGTGCAAAATGAATAGATATATATATTATATAGATTATAGGTTTATCAGTTTTATAGAAATTTGAAAGTTCTACAGAAATTTATTTAATTTATTTATATATGGATTATAAACATTTTTGTTTGTGTGTTTTGCGCTATGCATCTTTATACCTATTTTAGAAGAGATTTTTATAGAATATTAGAAGTGTAGTAGGGTCAGTTTCAGACGAATTAAGCATAAATATCGTCATTGCCATGTCTGAAGTGGTTTGTAAATGGGCCATTGTTAGCCCCAAGCGTTTTGGTCCCTCATTCCTGCCACTCAGCATTGCCTACTGTAAAGTAGAAATTTTTCTAAGACAATAGAGAAACTGACCCTGTCTCACTAAATTCCCCTAAATTCAACCACTTACCATAATAAAAATGCTAACAACCAAATAAAGTTTTTTAAATAAAGAATATTTCCTCAAGTTTACGTCTAGCTAACTAATTAGTGGTTTAAGCTCTTATTCTATTTATGATTAAAGGAATGTAAAATAAAACTTTTCGTTTCATTGAAAACTTTTCGTTTCATTGGTTCTCTCCAGATACTTTATATTCAGGCAATACTATTGAGATATATATATATATATATATATATATATATAACTCTAAAACTCTGGTCACAAGAGCAACTGCCTACACGTGCAGAAGTGAAAACAAATACATAAAATACTAGCAATCCTTTAAATTCGCAATAAATAAGTTCGTTCAATGTCATTATATAATTACTATTGAGAATATATTTATTTAACGAAGCTAGATGATGAACCAAAATTAAAACATAAATGGTTTTTAAAATTTCCTCGAACAAAGCTTTCAACTAGCGGCTTTCTAGTGTGTAATAAATATAATATGTTAAATCTTGTATCACGTCGTGACCCCACGGTCGTTTCACCCTGTAGAGTTTCTATGAGCCGCGCACTCTTGCGCGAAGGGTCTTGCTCTAACCAGAGCCCTCTCGCTTGCAGTAGCGCGCGACCGCCGAAAGCAGCAAAGGATATATTTTACTTGTGCAACAAGCGCGTCACGCAGTACGTGTATACACATGGCTACGTGATCGGCGGGTCATACATCGTATGACAAGTTAAATCTATTTCATGGCTATTTGCTAAACGGTGACCGCACACTATTGCGTGGTGAGCTCTCAGTGAGGGGCGATTATGTAATATTCAATTACATTATAATTAATCAAATGCAAAATGGTTTATTTTTTTTGCTGCAAAAATATTTCGGTTACATTTTTAATTATTTAAAAGTATTTATAAAATATTTTAAAAGAATTTTGAAGTTTCGCTTGTCGTTTCACACCAACTTGTAGGTTTATATTAACTTACCATGACGCGCGCTGCGTTGGACTTGTCGTTAATTGACGATGTCAATTCATCTCAGCTCGGCGCGGCACAGTAGCGCATTTCGCCGATCTAGAGAAGCCTCATTGAGTGCGCGGCGCGGGACAGTAACGCATCGCGCTACAAGACTCGTCGACGATCTTGAAATATTTAAAACATATATTCAATATTTTACGAGTATCACCCGTTAACGTGTTGCGTGTGTCCGCTTTGTTGCACTCCTATGGTCTCAAATAAACGTTATAAACACACGACATACCTGGCATGGCACTCCCTATAGCTATGCGCCGCGCTCTTTTCAAGCTTCATGTGCATATTATATTTGTGAACGAATTGAACAAGAAACTAGCAAACTAATTAGGCCCCAAATTTTATTTATTTATTTTAATGGGCTGACCTGACGCGGTGACGCGCGCTTCAGCTTTTTTAGAGCATTTTTCTTCGGGTCATAATCAATAATATATATTATTTTAAAAATAAAATGGCGCGTGCTACTCTGGCGAAATTAAAAAGAGTATTTGGTATCATTATTCATTTGATACGCCATAGACTAACTTATTCAAGCTTGCCGCTTGCACGTTCAAAATTTAAAATAATAGTGTAGTGTACGCAATTGGTAATGCAATATTTTTGTTGCATAATCTCAAGTTTGCAGTTTATATTTAAAAATAAACGTATGATCATCAAACTAATTTTAGCGGACAGGCTATGAACTAATTATAATTTTATTTTTAACACAGTTGCTTTAATAATACCAAGATAGCTTTTTGAACAAAAGTAAAACTGAGCTTTATATATATATAACTCTAAAACTCTGGTCACAAGAGCAATTACCTGGAGACTTCAGGCTTCAATAGAGATTCGGCGGAATGACAGGATGCGCGCGGCCCAGTAAAAGAGCAACTGTCTAAACGTGCAGAAGTGAAAACAAATACATAAAATACCAAATACTAGAAATCCTTCAAATTCGCAATGAATAAATTCGCTCAATGTCATAAAATTCTTAAAACCACATACACGTGACCAGTAAATAATTTAATTGGTCTATAGACTACTGTATAAAATTCTCGATATAAACTTTTTAACAATAATAAATTAAATAAAAACACACAATAACCTTTGGTGTGTAAGAATGATTAAACAACCTCTTTTTGGACCGCTATGCAATGTATTTGTAGATCGTGTCTCTGAGATGATAGCTGACCATAAAAAAGAAGCCAAGAGCCAAGTCAAAAATCATATCAGAACACGATTCAGATTAGATCTGTAAAGAAGTACACTCATTGCACTAAGAGGAATCAGAGGAAGATCAACGGCCCAGCATCTTGAACTGCATGACATCTCCTTCAACCTCATCCCCCAGAAGACGAGCTTTGAGGTCTCCTAGATTTGTTTATGTAAATTTTGATATTTTACTGTACTATTTTATGTTGTATATAATTTTACGGACGAAATGATCCCAGGGGGGACTCCCAACCCACCGCTTCAGCGGGTAGTTGACACACCTTTCACAAGCAAGAGCCACTTTGGTCTACTTGCTGTGAGGTGTCTCAGCTACATGGGTTGGGGGTTCCCCCTTTTTTTTCTTTTTTTTTGGCACAAAATATCTTTTGCTATAATATTAAAAGTTTTTAGTTGAGTTCAGGTAACAGAATTTAACTGTAATAGCACCTCTGCTGTGTTATCCATTGTTGAGATGTAGCCATATTTTCGTCCGGTGTAACATTGAACCCGGCTCATGAAATATATGCTTTGTCCGGTCTAACATTGAACCCGGCTCACTAATCTTAGGGGTGGTGTAGTATAGTAGTTGGAATATGATCAAATTTTTACAGTTTTACCTCAATTCGAAGGAATTCTTCTGCATCCTTTGTTATTTCAAGTGCCAAATCAAAGAACTCGCGAAGTCTGCTCCAGTGGCGTAACGTTGCCTGTTGGCTTTCCCGCCGAAAAAGCGTCCCCCTTTTGGCGCCCCCTCTCCTTTTGGTGCTCCTCCCTAAAGTTGAACAAATTAGGTGATTTTAGAGGACATGTGTATCTAGAGCAAAACGTGCAGTTTTTCTAGTACTTTAGTTAAGTTTTTGAAATTGTCCCACATTCAAACGACGATTTGGCGCCCCCCTAAGACGGTGCCCCACCGCACAGCGGGGTCAGCGGGGCCCTTCATTACACCACTGGTCTGCTCCATGATATCAACATTGAGTTCCCACCATAGTCGTGGTTTACGATGTTGTGGAAAGGGTGTTTTCAAGAAGCTCACTCATTTTGTTCCTTTTTTGTACATCAGGACAGTCGATAAGCATTGATAGTTCTGTGATATGTGCTCAAAATTAAATTTATTGTTTCATTGAACTTGTCGGACTGGATTTTGTATTCTGATTTGTGATGTGTATTTTATAATCAGGTATTGTGTGTTGACTTAATTACATCCTGATGGAAATACAGTGAAACAGAGATTTATCCTGCCTAATATACCCAATTCCCATTTTACCATGGCTATTTCTTTTTCCCCGCAAGGACTTAACTTATATAATGTGAACAATCAAAAACCCAATTTACCACAGACCCCAATTTACTGTAGCTGTTTCCTTTCCACTATCAGGGTTTTACTGTACTATGGAATTGCAGTATGTGGAGAAATGGGTAGTAGCTTATGGTCATGAATCTAAAATAGTTGTATCTAAATTAGGTAAAAAATGAAAACCATAATATAATTAGGCTAAAATATCAAATTGAATTGTTTTTAATCAATTTTTGACTTTATAAATGGCATCAAAGTTGTGTGTGATTGAATTCAACGAAAGTGTATTTGACTCACCTACATGTCATAAGCTTGTCGAGTAGAGTAACACCCTGATTAACTGCCACCTGATTTAACACAAAGCCCAATTTATAGCAGCTGTTTCTTTTCTTAACCTGCACATCACAATCATCTTCCTTTACACAAAACCTGGTTAATTTTACTGCACAATATTCTATCCACTAACATTTTACTTATTTTAGTTAGATGATGATGATTTCAAGATGTTGACAGCCGACAAGCCAGTTCAGGTAATTCTGTACAAGTTGATTGTTTTAACCCTCTTGCTGCAGCCTTGCTACCGCTCTTTGTATCTGACGAACTAAACCATTATCTATGTATCTACTGAACAGAAGCATTCCAAATGTGACCGGCCTAATCATGATAAAATTTAGGGTTCACTCAAAATATTAGAACATCTAGGTTACTAAATAAAGGGTACCCTGTCAGTAGTTCGTGTGTACCCTGTCATTCCATCACTTGATGGCATGCAGCAGACCTGATTAACATATCACTGACCACAAGCTGGCCACCTCCTGCAGCTGTTGACAGAGTGGGTCACATCCTTATGCTATATGCAGCTCCTGAATGAGTTAGAACCCTGCAATTTTGAGTTCACCCTGTTTCTTATTCTAAATACAATGCATTAGATTTAAACGTTAAAATGAGCTCAATATGTACCCAATACCCAATCTTGAATAGAAATGAATATGCTACATGAACAGGTTCCTTACGAAGTTTTGCCCCTAAAATTACTAACACAGATTCTGGATCATCATAACACATGGCCTGCGAAGTTTAAAGTTGTTTGATTAAAGCTGAGGCTTCTTGTTTGGATACTTTGCATTTGACGCTTCACGTTGCAAAAATATCAAATCGGTTTCCTGTTACTTAGACTTAGTTCTTTTTTAAGTAATTCGCAATTTAAGTGAGAAATGGCTGGAATGTTAGATAACTGTTCAATATTGAGTGGTAAAATTCAGCTTTTCGGCCACGTTAAAAATACAAAAGAACAGGATGTAGTCACATTCACTCGAGAGTGAACATTTTTATTAATTATTAAGGCATTAACCAAAATTATGATATAAGTATGACTATGTCTAGCATTGATAACTTCATAATTTAAATATTATATATGTGCATGTAGTCTTAGATAATTCGTGTAACAACTCAAACTGAATTTGTACCTAATTTTACTTTGAATATTCTTCATTGCCATGATATTTGCCAAAACTAATCGAAGTTTTTCACAGTTAGACTAATACATTTAAAATACCCTTCTATAATAATCTATCCTTTTAGTTAGGAAACTTAAATTGCCTTCTCGTCTTTTGAAAGGGGTTAAATTGCACTCGAATGTATCAAAACACCGATTTAGTATTGCAATATCAAAGCTTTGATCTGTAAGTTACGGTACAGTTTAAACTATCAGAAGATTGGACCCCGACACTTCCATATAAGGAATAATGACATCCAAGCAATCAAGTGATGCTACACGCTTGCTCTAGGTATGACACCTGGACACTACTTGTGCGGTTACTGGAGTATAAGTAGTGAAACAAAGAATGTAATACGTGCTGTGAGACGTCACGTGACAGACACTATGCTGTGTGACGTCACGTGCTATATTGTGCTGGATTACACAGGATTAAAATTAAATTATATGTCCACTATCTTGAACCGTCATAATTTTACACAATTGGATAAACAAATTATCGAAGTTGGTTTGGAATCAGAGCCAGGATTAGCCTTACGATCTTACGTAGGAATAATTCGCGATGTTCTCGCCAAATTGACAGTAAGATTGTTAAGGTTTCGTGCATTTTTACTACGTTGTCGCATATCTGCGGTGAAAGTATTCCGCTCTTCTGAGCTGCGGAGGAGATACGTGCACACGCATTCGCAATTAACGGCATGGTCTGTGGTCACGTAGTTTGGCGTGGCTTGATACAAATTATTAATTAACATTTTGACAAGCAAGGTTCCATCAATATTTGCAAGCTTGAGCCACAACCCACCATCTGAGTCTGGTTTCTTGATATTTCTTGATTATTTCTTGATTATTTCTTGATAATAATGAAGTACGCCGTAAAATTTGATTTATAGGTACCCAAATATTATGATTCGTGGTTCAAACTGTGTCATCCATATTAAGACGTCTGATTTAAATCCACTAATTCCTGTTAACTTGATAACGGCCTTATCAAAACTGGTAAACTTACCCTTAGTACAGGGTGGGCCAAAAGTCAGTGGGCATACGTTGGCCTTAATAGCTCCGCCGTGTTTTATATTTGAGAGCTGTTGCTTTGCAGATGGCACACTGTACTTACTGGTTCGAGGATTCCGTCGTCAAAATTTGAAAATTCGAATATTTTAGACCACGCCCATTCAATATTAAAACACCTATATTATTTTCTCTGAACATGCTGAACGCCTAATTTTTTCAGAGACGATAGATTATTAAATGTTGCATATGCTATGATCTGAAAACATGAGGCAAAACGGAGGCGTACTTTAGTAATCATTTAAATTGATTACAACATTCCAAACACATGTGCAGTGTACTGATGTTTAACACGTGACTGTTGCAGGTATTGCTGCACGAAGCTGACGCCGGACAACCATGTTTGGTTTGTGGAGATGAGTGTCCCGGACTGGAAATACATTTCTGGAGGTAAAAATCTTAAAATAGCGTAGATTTAACTATATTAGGTTTATTGTATAATCTAGAATGTTCTGATTTCACGCTCTTTATCTTGATCTTGAAAGATCAGTGTCGAACCAGCAGTTTGATCCAACAAAACAATTACTGACGAGTATTCCTTCGTACTGAAATGAAAAATATGATGCCATGAACAAAATGCCGTTACTTGTTTCAGTCTATCTTGTTTGTTATCACACTTTCAATTTTATGGAGCAAGGAATTAATTTTAGTCATACTTATCCTAATAATTTATCTGACGAATCAGTAACTTGGAGTAGTACTTATCCGTCCTTAAAAGGTCGAGTGTAAAGTGTAAGTCATTTTAGTCTTTCAATTTTCACTTCCATTACGCAGACAAAGTCTTATAAGTTTAAAAGCATGTCTTCACTTTTCAGCGTTCAGTGTTGAAACTTATCGTCGTATTTCTTTAACGCTCTTTAGATAAAGAGTACAAAGTAAGGTTTGGTATCTAGTTTTAGTTTTCAGCACTCAAAGAGCTATTTTAGTTTTATTTTGAGTCTCTTATACTGTTTAGTGTGTACCGGGTACCCTCTGTGAAAATGCTGCAATACTTCGTACTTTGAGGGCAAGTGTAGAGATGTCAAGCTGAAAGGAGTGGAAATTAGAATTAACTTTGCAAGAAAATAATGAATAACTTAGTTCTGTTATTAATTAAAAATAGTTCTGTTATTAATTAAAAATTAAATTAAAGATCGTACACGCAAAAATTGGTTCTTAAATAAATGCCATAATGCGGTAATCTGTGCCATAATGCGGTAATCTGTGCCATAATGCTAGGTGATTTCTAGGTAATATTATATTATAGGTTCTTACAAAGATAGTGATTATTTTATAAGGTTTCAATTCCATTTTCTTTTCAGAATATAATTACAACAGTTTACAAATAGAAACGACCGGTTGAGTCAAACAAATGTTTCAATCATGCAAAACCATGATATCATCAGTGACACACTATTTACAACAGTTTATATATTTTATAATTTTAGATATATTACAAAGTTAAAAAACAGATCGTGCTCATTGTTATGCCATTCTATTCTATCCTATTCTATTCTCCGGTAAATTTCAAAATACAAAGTAAATACAAAGTAAAGTCAGTACTCAGTATTATAATAATATGTTGTTGATACCGCAATTCTCCATATTAATCGAATAACACCTACAAACAATTCAAAACATGTCCGGTATGTAAAATGTAGAATTATTACTTACCTAGCAACTTGAAACTTAAGATAATACCCTGGCAATTTAAAGTTGATTGTGGTGTTCCACAGTCAACCTTCCCACTAACTAAACAATACACCATACATTTGAGGGTCACGTGACACACAGTGTGAGGAATGTAAAGTATTTTCTAACAATTCGATTAAAATTAATGCAGGCGTCGGGAATGTCAAGGATGGCAAAAATGATAAGAAATCATCAAGAGTGACCGGTATAGCTTACTTTTTTTGATGATTTTCAATTTATAAAAAAGGATGGAAATCGGCAATAGTTGACAGTTGTTTTTGTTTACATTTTCCCTGCATTCTGGTAAATGCTTCATTAATTATAAGCTTCTAGAAGTCAACACTTTAGTTCAGTAGATTATTCAACTTTTATACACAAGTGCTAGTACTCTGATCACAATTGATTGCAGCTTAATTCCACACCCTCCACAGTCCACAGTGTACATATTACAATAAACCTAAAAGTGTATTACTTGTGTGTGTCTTATACTATCTCAAGCAGCACCACTCTGTTAACCCCCAAAGAACAAAGGAACTACACACTGCTACAACACCCATATTATTACAATCGTTATAATGTAGCCAGCACCCAATCTCAGCTGGGAGGAGTATGACCATATGTTACATTATGTTACTACGTCCCTCGACCTCTCTCTCTCATCATGCATCATTACATTTCCTTTCAAATTTTATCAAATGTGCGCTGTAACACCTTGCTAAGCTGGGTAAGTTCGCCTAGCTGCCCTCCTTATCTGTATAATTTTAAGGGGGTTAAATTTGTTCAGGGAATGAAATTCGGATGGGTCGATTTAGATCATGTACAACTTACAGCTGCATCATCAATTTATTTTAACCAGCTTTAAAATTACGACAATACAAGATATTGTGGGCACCTTGATTAATGATTACTTTGTGTATTTTATTCTTACCTTCTGAAACATGTTATTAAAATATGCACGTGCTACTTAACGCGTGTCACGTGTCCTGGTTTCATTATGTTTGTTGAGTAGGGGTCTCCTGCCTGCAAACATAACAATTGCACACCAGGTCTCAGTATCACGATATTACATAATATAATATGACCATGATCTGATACCACAACAATTTACCCTCAAGTACTGAAGAACCACTTCAGGCCCCCACCCCCACCCCCACTACACCTAGTTCGTACACCCCCCCCCCCCCCCCTCACCCCCACTACACCTAGTTCCTTCACTCCCCCAATGATAAACACCTAACTTATAAGTTATAAACACCTTATAAACACACTTACAAGTTCCTGTATGCAAGGTCTGAGAGGTATTATGCAAGGTCTAGACCCCTGACACGAACAACGTGACCAGTTTTCCTGCTATTACTAGAGGAGTACATGAGAGGTTTTGTAATTCTATTACACCACCATCTGGTTTGTGATAGAGTGTAACATGTACACCAACTCCCGCCGTATAGCGTGGAGAACATTCCAGATTGTATTACATATCTACCGTTAAACTCATTGAAGCAGGAGAATGGGGGAACTCTAAATGGAGGTCCCATCTCAGAGTCAGGTTTTTGTGGGGTAACGTGACGCTGCACTTTGTGGGGTGACGCTGCACACTGTATGTGTTGCTATTGGTAACTGTACTGAGAGAGAGGGAGAGAGCGTTCTATTACTGTTGATAATTATTGCAATTGTCTGCCATTCTTTTTTTAATAAAATTGTAATATTATTTATGATCTCTGGTTAGAGCGCAATTTACCAGCTCGATTGATAAACCGAGTATAACACGTATTATAAACAATGTGCACTGATGTACTGTAGTGTACTCATAACAAACTCATAAAGCTTTATATTAAGCTTATTTATTAATACACTAAGACACTGTAACAGCCTTAATTTCAATAATATCTATAAATAACCTCGATAAAGTTGGCTCTTTTCTTCGTATGGTACGGTATGTACAGATGAAGTGAACCGCAATATTTTAGTCAGAAATATTTTGTTAATTGTTCAAGATATTTGGCAAGTTATTTGACAATTCCTAACAAGCATGTGAATATGCCTTCTGAATTAACACTTAACTCATAAAATGTCCAATTATGAGAATCCGCAAAAGTTTGTCGCGAATTGATAAAAATTTATCCCGGCAAAACTCAATAAAAGCCCGTACTGTTTTTTTTACAAAATATGTTGATTCAATATGGCCGATATTCAATATGACCGATACCTATAACCTAGTTCTACCTGAACATTTGTCATAAGATACATTATTTATCGTCTGCTGAGAATGCTGTAAATGCTCTGCATTACAGAAGTAATACGGGGTAATACGAGCTTGTCATAATGTACTGTCCCCTAATGAGGATATCTGTCCAACATCTGTCAGACTGCCATGTTATTACCTCAGTAAGGGTCGTGAGAACCACCTTGGTACTCACCTTTCACTCTACCTCATGTTATGCAGATCATATCGTGAAATTTCCAGTGTAACCCGGCCCCATACCTTATGCGGAGGAATGTACATTATACATTTTTGTGCACATAGTTGCATTTTGTACATACCTCTTAAATTTGATACACTTTAAAGATCGGTATCAGCTGCACTGCAGCACAATGACATCTTTACAGGAAACTGTGAAACATCTCACAAAAGAAACCACTGTTAATTGTTATCTGACAATCGCAGTAATTAATAATTATAATTAGTAGTAATGTAGCTAGTCTATTGTAGTGCTGATAATACATGTGATACTGGGCAGTGGGCACAGCCCTAATTATTAGAGTCACGATGAAGTTGTGTGTGTGTGTGTGTGTGTGTGTGTGTGTGTGTGTGTCAGTGCTGATTGTTATAAACTTCAAATCCCTCGAATGTGTGACAGTGAGCTGACTATAACCTCAAATGTGTGACAGTGAGCTGACTAAAACCTCAAATGTGTGACAGTGAGCTGAGTATAACCTCAAATGTGTGACATTGAGCTGACTATAACCTCAAACGTGTGACAGTGAGCTGACTATAACCTCAAATGTGTGACAGTGAGCTGACTATAACTTCAAATGTGTGACAGTGAGCTGACTATAACCTCAAATGTGTGACAGTGAGCTGACTATAACCTCAAATGTGTGACAGTGAGCTGACTATAACCTCAAATGTGTGACAGTGAGCTGACTATAACTTCAAATGTGTGACAGTGAGCTGACTATAACCTCAAATGTGTGATAGTGAGCTGACTATAACCTCAAATGTGTGACAGTGAGCTGACTATAACCTCAAATGTGTGACAGTGAGCTGACTATAACTTCAAATGTGTGACAGTGAGCTGACTATAACCTCAAATGTGTGACAGTGAACCTGACTATAACCTCAAATGTGTGACAGTGAGCTGACTATAACCTCAAATGTGTGACAGTGAGCTGACTATAACCTCAAATGTGTGACAGTGAGCTGACTATAACCTCAAATGTGTGACAGTGAGCTGACTATAACTTGTCAGAACTCAACTCTCATGAGAGTTACTGCTGCAGTTAGACGTTTGTATAATACCATATTGTAAGAGCTACTCAACACTACTCTACACTCTGTTATAATATCATACTATGTAAATTTAAATTAGACTTTATGTAATTTTATATTACATTATATTACAGAACCAAGTTCTCCTTATTTTACTACTCTACAACTTGACCGTATAATTGTTGGAATAAACTATTTCAGAGACAATGTTTTACATTTTAAGGTTGATTATTGAATAATTGTATTGAAAGAATAGAAAGGGTTAAGTTGATTTAATAGATGTTTTGCGTCACGATATCTTGGTGAAGGTATAACATGTATAACTTGTATAAAGGTGCGCGCATCTACAGGTCATGAGAAAGCATTGGTGTGTTAATTTATTTTACTGCATTACCTTTACAAGGATAATTAAGTTAGGGGGATGGTGACAGATCTAGAGCAACTATTAACCCGAGTAACTTCTTGGGTTCTTACAATTTAGGGAGTCTTACATTTAGCAATCTACTAAATTTACAGATTCTATCAAATACTGGTCATGTTAAGTGAAGGTAAGTTCTGACAGATTAGTAATACAACCTTACAGTTTGAGGGGAGTGAGGTTTGCAGCATTGATGAGTGGAGAATGTAAAGTTTTTATGGAAAAGGTTTATAGGCGTGGTTTGTACACTGGATAATCTCGTTGGTTCAGCGGAATATGTCAAAATATGTATGATAACAAGATAAGATATATGTTAAACATTTTCATACTCCTTTTAAACATTCTAAACACATTCCAGTGTGAAACATTTTGATTTCATGAGATCCGTTGAGGAGGATGATTGTTTTCGTTCTAAGAACAAATTTAAAGATATGAGCGGGAGATTGATAGTTCTATCTTGAGGGAAATGTCTCAATTTAAACTGTGGCTTGTTTAGACCAATCTGTTCCTAAAAGCTTGAAAAGTAAATACCACGACTAAAGGAAATCCGAATTTAAATTTCAGCGACTCGTTGGAATGTGTTTCTAGACCGCATAAAATAATTTCATTATGATTTTCCTTTGTTTATAATACGATCAACAATAATTATAAATTTAACAATTAGACAAAACAAGTGGTTGAAAGTCATTGTTAAAAACACTTAAAAGTTGTGAAATTAGTTTGTTTATGCGATAAATTACACACGCCACCTGATTATGATTATTTCACTGCCAAAACATAAAACATAGATATTGTTTACAATCCACTGTTAGTGTACACATGCGGACGAGATTCAGGTTCTTTTGGTAGGCCCTGTAGCGGAAAGCCCCCTTCTCATTTAACCCTCAATCTCCGATCATTCGGCAGAGTGGACCGTGAGGGTTGCAGAGAGCATTAGATACTTCATTTAAAGCGCGTGAACAAAGCGACATTTAGTTACCACATGGAAATACGAGTAACCGTACCTTGTGTATTGTAATAGTACGGTATATCAGTGGAATGTTAGTGCCCTTGATGGGTACGAATGAGCATTTCTCGCTGACTTAGTGGCATGTGGCAGCAGCTGCAGGCTTGCAGAATTTGCTTCTTAAACAGTCCTCAGATGGTGTACTCGACCTTTTTAGACTTAATAGTGGACTCAAGTTTCGGTTCTATTTTTAAAGTTCTAACGTTTTCAAATGAATTCGTTTTCTAAACGTGTCCATTTTTCAGGAAGATCTGTATAAACTGTAAATGTGCAGCGTCTGATCACCAGGCTCCTCCGACACTGCAACCCATAGATCAGGTACATTTTCATTAGATCACGTGGTGCAAATTATTTTAATTAGATTAAACGTATATCAGATTTAATTTAAAGATATTACTCGAGTAGGTCAGATCTGAGATCTGATACATTGAGCTGCTTCAGAAAACCAAATTAGGGCAAGTGGAACATATACTTTTCAAGAAATCACTACCTGGGATTGGTTTATTTACTTGTACTTGGGACTGAATTTAAGTTTAACTTGAGTAGTTAACTTCCTTGGCTGTCAGCTACAGTAATTGAAAACCAAGAGCTCCCAAAGAGCATCATTTGAAATTTACTTATAATTATTAATGTAGTAAGATGTATCGATAACATGTATGGTTTGGAGCAAGTGACTGTGAAGTCAGTCACATGTCAATATTTTTATAAGCAACGACAATTTCGATTAAAGCAATCACATATTTTACTCTGCTTCTCGTATTTTGTATACTATCAGTTCATTGTATGTTTTACTTTCTTATCACTTATGCTCCAAGTTAGGTTTAACATAAGAATCATGCTCTACTCGCTACATGTAAATCAATTATCTTAACTTGTGTTTTGTATCTGTGATCGCGTTTTATGATTTTAAAACCTTTAGTTTTAACCGATGTATACTTCTGGGATAGTGTGACCTGTTAGATTCGAGTCTTTTAACAGGTTCAATAAGTTTAGTAACTGATCGTATTTGCGCAGGTAAAACGAGGGAAGCAACTTGAGGACAATATCAGAGCGCAGTTCGAATGCGGGAACTACAGCTGGATCCCTGAGGGCCTGTCGCCGGTTCTGGTACGTTCTGAATGTTAAGTTTTGTGGCAAATGCCTGGAATAGTTTGCATTACATCTTTCATAGACTAGAACAAGAGTTAAGTTTTGTTAAGTCTGCTTGTTAGACAAATTCAGTGTTATTCAGTGACATTTACAAAATCAATCCTCGTAGAAAATTCTAGATCTATTGAATTGAAAAAAGTGGTATGTGGTCGTTCAAAAATGAATGTTTGTCTAGAACTAGCTTATCAGATTGTTATGGTCTAAACAAAAACCAAAGTCTCTAAAAAAACTGGTGGCCATTTCTTTGTAGAATGTAGTAATTATTTATATGTTTTAAAATGTTATTTTATGTTGTCCATGTGATAACAAAAATCTAAACAATACAGTGGTTTGTTAGAGACCACAAATAACTAGAACAACAAATCGTATGAAGAACAAATACGAAATAAACAATAATTAGACAGTGAAAATAGTCTAAAATATGTCTCATGAAGCTTATCATTAGTTTATTATTAGCTTATTGGTTTCTTGGTTCACACACTACCTGAAGGAGTCTACTTTCAATATATTATCTGAGTTTTGTTTCCAAACACCCCCTACTTCAACAATCAAACATCGTGCCAGTCAACACATTACCATGCAGTGTAACAGCTTCACTTGCTTGTAAATCACCCACTTACCACTTAAATCACCCACTTACCACTCAAATCACCCACTTACCACTTAAATCACCCACTTACCACTCACTTATCCATTTTGTAAACGTTATCTGGCCACCTTGTTCTCTTCACATATATAATGTAAGTTGGATTGATATTTCTCTACAATATAATACATGTCAGGTCTAATGAAAATAACGTGCATGTTTGAGTGTGGAGATTTCTCACAGTGGTCACTACACACACACACACACGGGCTGTGCCCTCGGGGGCAGGAAGTGAGGGGGTTTAAATAGGGTGAGGTGTGATTTGAGGTGTGATTAGGTGTGATTTGAGGTGTGATTAGGTCAGATTGTACAAATGTTGTGACATGCAGTGTGTAGTCGGATTGTTCTCTCTATATTACTGTGTTTACCCTTGACGTGTTGTAATTTACTTATATGTCATTACATATTCACCGCTACTTAGTAGTGACGTTATGATGCATTGCATCTGGACAAGGAAAAAATGAGAAAAATGGTAAGGAACCAGCGTGCCTTTTTGCCATTTAAATAGTGAAGTCAGTGTTGCAGTTTAAACGTTAATACCTGACATTTGGCAGAAGTCACTTAATTACTGTGATGAGCTTACTCTACAACTGATTAGAGATGATAATTAATTTGTTGCTACGGTTACGCTTCTACGTGATGTACGTGTTATTGATGTAGCTGGTGCCAATATTGGAGCCTGTGTGTCAGTGTGTTTTACACACGGTGCACTCTAAACAGACCCTGTACTTCCGTGCCACTGTGCGGATGTTGTATTATATGTAGTTTGGTCTCATTGTTAACCATATATGGTCATGTCCCAGTGCTTCAAACGGGAGGAGGTAATCAGAGTGCCCCGATGTACCTTTAATACCCGACATCGCCGGTTGTAAATGTAGAAGGTTACATCAGCTTATTAAGATTGTCTCATGTTTCAATAATTTGGGATTCAACTCATTTAGGATCACCTTCCTTGTTGTTGCGCACTCACAAATTAGAGGTTATGATCCTTTATATGTCTGACGTAACTCAGTTAGAACCAAAAGTAAATCTACTGTGGGAATTATTATACGTCATAGTTAGTAACCTGGGTGTGACGTTGTTGTAACTTGGGGAGACGTTTAGCGTCATCTGGGACAAAATGAACAACTAGTGCTTATCCTGTGATGGGAAATATACGATCATATTCTCGACAATTAAATATATTCGACGATATTTCCTAGAAAGTAAAGGTGTTGCCCATTTATCCCGGAACTAACGTGGTAACCACTCTGTTCCCTCGCTCTTTGTAGGTGGCCCGGTTACTTGAATAATTTAATATATTCAATGTGGAGAAATGCGAATCATCCTTTTACTCATTACGTAATTTGCACAGAAATATGTAACTCGCGAGTTAGGGAACTTAAATGTAATGTCGTTTATGATCAAAATTATAATGAAAGTTCAAGAATAATAAACCATCAATTTACAGCCACTATCCAAGCACGAATAAGAATCAGATTGAAAAAAAACCAAATCCCTTTTTTTTAAATGATGTTGATTGGGATCGTTCACAAAATATAACATCACGTAAGCCAGATTTTGACACATAGTTATTGTGTAGAAAATATAAGCATTTCCAAGACCCTTCTCCCTAGGCTGGGTAACGTAACATGTGACACTTGCCACATGACATTAATATCTGATACTCACTCTGATACACAACTCCGATCTAAAATGATATTTTGTTCAATAGTACCTTAACATATTCAAATCTTATTATTTAGACACCGTCACATATTATGAAGCCCTCGAGTGGGGCGTGCTTTAAAAGTATAAAGATAGTGACTAAAAGCACACACATGCTGAGATGTGTGTAAGCGCTTGACGTACATGCTTAAGAAAATGTCTTGGGTTTATTTATTATTGAACTCATCCCTTTGCTTTGAAGGATGAATAATTTGCAGGTCCGCATAAATCTTTCATATGTGGGGCCATGCATGGCACTCAGAAATTTCAACAAGCATGGATTAACTAAGTGCCGCTCATGTCTGGAACACGCGATGGGATATTTTATTTATTTTGTGACGCGCGTGCGCTGTTTTTGACGCGCGTTTTTCAAAACTGTGCTGCCGCCGCGCGCACATGTGCACTTGCCATTAATTCGTTCGTCTATTGTTTAAACTTTAACAACGTTCACATCACAATAGTCTCGTTTGTGTGCACACAATAGTAATTCCGAATAAAAACTGATTATAGCTTTATTTCACTGAATGTTAAGTGCTACCAACTCCTATGGTATAAAGTTTCAGGATTTAATTAGAGTTGTTTGTGAGCTCGCACAATCTCTTAACAACTGTCGAGTTTATCTTCGTGGGCTACTGCACAGCGAACAACACTCAATGACGAAAAACAAAATAAGAAAAAATACTTTGTGATTGCTCACTTTTTTTAAAGAAGCCGCAATAACTCAAATAATACGAGAAAGTCCTCCTTCGACGCTGTGTTTGTTGATGGTTCTATTTCAAATCAAGTTATTCTTCTGACGTATGCTAGCCTGATTAGAATGCCTATCTTGGAATATATATATTTTACTATCTGTATTGATATATTATACTATAGTTATGTTGTTATGTTGTGTAAGTCTGTGGTGTAGTAGCAAGAAGGTATCGTATACATTTTAGTTTGTTCTCTTGATTATTTATTAATGATTTAAATTCTACATTTTATGTAGGGTTGCTAATACAGCTTTGTACACTATTTAACCCCCAGGTAGAAGAGTACATGAAACAGCTGCCCCCAGAACAGCGTCCCTTAGTAGGCAGTGTGGGAGAACAATACAGACGTAAACTACTGATGACACAGCTCCCAGTTCACGACCACACTCCCAAGTAAGCGAAGTTATTTAACTTTCGTTCAAGAAATACCTTATTAGGAGAAACCTGGAGCAGTGGCGTAACAAAGGGCACCGCAGACTGCGCTATGTGGGGGGGGGGGGGGCAATGGTAACGTTATCATTTTTCGCTTACTTTTACCATCCGTCATGGGTGTTAGGTGAAACTTTCTCAAAGATTTATGATGCATATAACAAAAAAATATTGAATAATTTTACCATGCGACTAAGGAACTACGAACTGCTTTTATCCCTTTTTAGCGGGGTTGGCATAAGCCATGAGAATAATTCATTTTGTCAAAAAAATTCCAAAAAATCCCCATTCAGACTGATTCAATCAATTTTCGCTTTCTCTTACCAACCTTTATGCATCTTTGTCTGGTGAAATTCCTCAAATATTTGGTTCTAAACCGGAGAGTTTTACCGTGCGACTAAAGAACTGTGAACTGCTTTTATCCCTTTTTTGTTGGCATCAACTATGAGAATGATATATGTTGTCAACAAAATTTTTCTAAAATCCCTTGCTTCGAACCATTATGCTTTTTTACAAGCGCCTTATAAATCATAGCCTAGAAGTTCTAGTCAAGTTTGAATTTAAAAATCCTCTTCCATTGTTTAATTATTATTATTAATAGTTAATAGTTAATAGTACTATGTTTACAGTATGCACTGAAGGGGTATCCTAGGAAGTTTCTTGAACTTTTAACTGGTACCCCTCCTCATTTAACCCTCAATTAAGTTTCCTATCATTCGGCTGAGTCGACCGAGGAGATCGCATAGATCCAATGGATCCTTAGCTACTCCCTAGACTAGGGAGACATTGTTAATGTTCTCTGACATTTCTACCACTTTCCCAGTGAAGGGTTGTGCGGTGCACAAGCAGAAGAGTTAACTGAGTTTAGCAGACTGAGATATGAGATGAGTCACGGGGTCGGTACTGTCAGGACCATCACCAATCAAGAAGCCGACATGTTTGACTGCAGAACCGTGAGTAAAAATCACTTATAATTTACGTCATTCTGATGAATTTTGATAAGTTGTATTTTTCTATTCTGATGAGTTTCGAAAGATCTCACAGAAAGAGTTTTTAGGTGATTACCGGGTAGTCTTTACCAAGAAACAATTAAAACATACACCAAACTAACAATTCCTTCCTCCCTCAGTGTCAGTCCCCATTATGCGCAGACCAACTGGGCGTCTTCACAGAAAGAGCAGGCTCTGCTTGTATTTGGTGTGTGGGGTGTTTCAAGTGTGACGTTTGTCAGGAACCTCTGGTAGATCTCCACTATTTCTACAAGGATGGTGAACTGTTTTGTGGTCGACACCACGCCGAGCTGTTAAAACCACGCTGTAATGCTTGTGATGAGGTAAGGAATGTTTTCAGTTGTCATGGTTAGTGGATTATAAACATGAGCAGTGGATTATGACATTATGAGGTCATCCAACATCATTTATTTCGACAGAAGTTTCTGGAGTTACCAAATAAATTTATGTTCCTCTAACTTGAACTCCATCAGCTAATCCTGGCAAAAGAGTACACGTTAGCAGAGGACAGAAACTGGCACATAGATCACTTCTGTTGTTGGGAGTGCGACTCTCCGCTTGGGGGACAGCGCTATGTTACCAGAGACGATCATCCCTTCTGTATTCTATGTTACGAGGAGCTGTTTGCTCGTGAGTATGCTCATCATATTACCGAATATTACTTTATAATATACATCATTCAACTCTACAGACAAACACCGAACTCCTAGCCAGCTAATTAAATCCTGAGCCCAATTTAAACCGGACCAGTTAGATTGCTGACTGTCTAGTTGATTGCGTATGTAATTCATTCTGGACCAGCCTGTTGTCTACCATCATACTGGTACTTGTAACTTATTACAAGTTTAAATTCCATTTTAAATTCCATGTGAAATTCTGCGATGAGATTCCATGTGGGATTTCATGTAGACCTGGGTCTTCTTGCAGCCTGCAGCCTGCCCCGACACATTGCTTGCACTATTTCCATTTGCTAACTGTTGGAATAGTTCAGAGTTTGAATATTACCACCAAGTGAAGTGTCAGCTTAACAGCCCAGTAACCAAGTACTGCAGATCTACTGCAGAGTGGATGTGCTGAGTATAGTTCTGTATTCGACGAATGTGGCGCCGTCTGCCTCTCTAATTACAAAAAGAAGCTATTGTACACTCGTGTATAATTGCACTCATCTGTACTCTGCGTGCGTGGGAGAGAGCTTGGGGGGCTCTGAGTATAATTATTTGATATATCATTACTCCTGATTTAACATGAGTTGTACACTCAGCCGCAGTGTGGAATTGTTGCGGTTTGTGGTAGGAGATCTTTGTAACTGGTTAGTCGTAAGTTGTTACTAGTAGTAACGACAGTATTACTAGTCGTAACGACAGTGTTACATGCAATCCATTTCCATATTGTACACTAGCTCAGATAGCGGTTTAGCTCCTGTCCTTAGCCTCCTTAGTTCTTCTAGTGTGGTTAACTCTTACTTAACTGCTGCTATCGGTCTAGTCTATATACTCCGCATCACTATCAGTGTAGTTGCTATTGGATAGTTCTAAACAAGTAAGGGCTGTATAGTAAAGGCTCACTTTAATCTATGTGCTCTACATTACAGCCCATACATAATTTCTAGCCGTATATTAGACGTCAACCTGTGGCCAGAGAGAGAGAGAGAGAGAGCTGGGTTGCCGCCCTAGTTAGCTCTTACTTTAGTTTTAGTTAATTAGCTGAACTACATTTCAAGAGAGATCTCTAAATCTAATCGGTAGTTCCGGTATTGAGGGTTTTGCGGGATCTTAAGCGAGCGGCTAGCCTGTCTTTTGTGCTTACATTTCTTTGTGATCTTGGTGTACTTTTAACTTTGTTCAGCTGCTCAGGTTGTATTCAGAACCCTTTGAGTTTGGATATTTAGATTTATATACGTTAATATTATAACAATTAGGCAGTCAAACTCGGCATATTATATTTTCTAAAGTAAACAGTGTGTATTGAAACGTCTCATTTTCCTGAATTCTTGACGCCGTCTGGAGTTTACGTTGCTTTATCCGTTGTAGCAAATGAACATCTTAGCCATCTGGATCATTGCTTTTATTTGCTTCATGAAGTCGTCAGTCTTTGAATCCTCGGTTTCAGCACCAAAGCTGAACGTCTGAGGGCAGATAAACTGTTTTACCCAGTTGAGAATTACCGTGAAGAAATCTGGGTCAATACCCCTCTCGTTTACCTCCAGGGCAAAGGACAGGGTCAGAAGAAAGGAGGCAATAAAAACTATTCTGAAAACCATTTTGAGTGAGCGACAACAAAGAAGTGCTCGCAGTTTGATTCTGTTCGCGGTTTTGTCCTGTGTTGCTCAATCATGAATCAGGACTTGATACTTTTTACACCTCTATACGATGTTTTTAGTCAGATATTTAATATAGATGTGCGATATTGGGAATAATAGAATAGAAAGGCAATACACGTTTTAACCAATGATAGACCGCCCAATTTGACGATAAAAACGTTTATTTCAAGGCTGTACCTGAAATACAAAGGGAATCTAACATTTCATTCTCAGCACCGTGCAAAAAATGTGCCCTACCCATTGGACTAGACAGTGCTCACATGGTACACAGAGAATACCACTGGCACGCAACTGAGTCCTGTTTCTTCTGCGAGAATTGCCAGGTTATTATAAAACTTAGTAAAAGCTGGAGATTTTGTAATTAAACTATTCGCCACGATTCTAACAACTGCTATGAACTTTACCTTAACTTAATTCTCCTCAGGTCTCCTTGATAGCCTCCCCCTTCCTCTTCAAGTTTGAGGAGATATTCTGCTCTTCCACCTGCGCTCAGCAGTACTCAGTATCCCAGCTGAGCGACGAGCCACCCGAAAAACACCCTCAGATAGAGATTGTAGAGGACAACCCTGTGGACAGGTTAGTGGCTCTTGTGTTCGTGCTTGTGTTCGTGCTTCTGTTTGTGTTGTCCCCAATATTGTATTGAGAAATGATTCGACTCAGTTGTGAGTATAAACACACCTGGTACCCCGTACCCGCAAGTAGCTGATTCTTAGAGCCCTGTTGAACGTTATATTTGGAACCCTGTAGTGTGCAGTGCGGATTATATGTATTAGGTACGCTACTTTTAGGACCGCATTGAAATTGAGAAATTTCTGAAACCATTATTGGACCCTCAAGTTATATAGTTCCCTGATTTCACACCATTAAAACGGGATTAAAACATTGAGGCAACTAGTCATGAGTATCATTCATTACATTGAATACCAAATCAATTGTCACCGTTTCTGCCTGTTTAATCAGATTGACCCGGTGAATAAATCCATTTAGCTGTGACCGGTCACCCAAACCATCATGAACCCAAAGAAATAACGGTGGAAGTTGGGTTTAGTTCCCCGCGTGTATAAGACATGTTAACTAAGAAATAGATATTGAGTTAGCTCCGTCATTTGATCAGGCCCCCCTCTCTCACTCTCTCTCTCTCTCATTATACACTCTCCCACCTGCTGTTACATGGTCCTGCTGGAGTAGTATTCCTTGTAGTTCTAGTTACTGTAGTGCCCAATTTAGAGGTGTTTTCTGCTCTTTTGTAATATTACTTTTAGAATATTCTCGAATGTAAAGGTAGCGTCGCAATTCCCCGGTAATCCCACTTAACTAATCCAAATCGATTTTGACTTTACCGCCGGATTTCATTTACTCCTGAAAGTGTTAATATACTTATAGATTCCTAAACTATGTCATTTAACTTTTGTTTGTAGCTATAAATTTATTAAACCTTTCCATATAGCTACAAATTTACTTGTTTATTCTGCTCGCAATATTGAAATTAGCAAATTCATCAGAAGCAGAGTTCAGAGCATACTGAGAAAAGAGTCGACTCCTTCACCTCCCAAAGAGAACGGATTGCAGCACAAGAAAGTAATGTTTGACGTGTCACGGGATCAGGAGCTGGAGCACGAACTGGAGTACGAACTTGAACAAGATTTGGAGTATATCACTTCAGAGATCACGCGGACTCAATCAGAGGAAGAGTTTGAGTACTTGGAGAAATCTCTCATTGAACACCGTGAGTCTTTTGTTTGGATCTAGTGCTATTAAAGCTTACTCTCAGGAGTAAAACACGCTGTACACGTCATACATGTGTACAATTCTCCAATTGCTTGAAAGCCGCAGTTCTCTCGTGTAGCTAGCTTATGAGAGTGTAATTGTGGGCCCATTAACTCAATTAAGTACTTAACTCGCCGATATTAGGTGTGGACTTGCCGAGCCGCCCTTCTTTGCAGCTTTACTGTTCCTGTGCTCAACTATTACTTTTATATGCTACAAGATAGTCTCGTGTAGTTTAAATAATCGGTAACTGTACCGTATTGGAATTGTTTTCTATAGGATTATCAGTTTTTAAAACACCCCTGTGATTTGTAATATTTAATCATTCTCCAGATGTTGTAGAAGAACAGTGTGGAGACTGCAACGAGTCCCTTCTTGAAGAAAACCCTGCTGAAAAGGAGTCTCCAATTTCAGTCTCCTCATTCTCTGAATCACCAATGAGTGAACCTGAACATTCGGAATTATTTACAGTTGACATAGATATTATGGAAGCGGATGTCGTAAAACCAGAGGTTACCGAAGTAGTAATAGACATAACGGAAGAAAATGTGGCTAAACCAGAGGTTACCGAACTAGAAATCAGTTTGCCAGATACGGAAGATGGACATGCTGAGGAAGATGTAGATTTTATGGTAACCGATCAAACTGGACAGATCGATAGTCAGGAAGATGTTGATGAATCAGATATCTCTGACAATGAGCCTAGTATTGATAAAGTTGAGAATAAAGGCAATGAATCAAAGCTAGATATTTTGGAAAATGATACATCCTATGAGGAGATCATGTTACAAGTAGAGAATATGATAAGCCCAGAAGAAGTTTCGATAGAAGAACATACTGAGCCTGCAAAACAAGAGGAAAATGAAGACGAGCAAGAGCAAGAGCGAGAGCAAGAGGAGGAACAGCCTCTCACGCCCCAGAAATTGCCTCTTACACCAGAGATTGTTGTAACTGACCCGCAGTTCTCAAGTAACGGGGTAGAAGAAACAACAGAGGAGCAAAATCAGTCTGAGGAGCATGTTAGCGTGTCTTCAGAGGCTGAAACAGACATTTCAATGGAAGTAAATGTGGATGTGTCACTGTCAGCGGAGGTGGAATCTGTGGAATTGGAGGAGAGGCCAGAGGTTGGAGAGGAGAGTGTTGAGACTCCTGAGGAGAAGGAGAACCATCCACTTAGGAACAGGACTCATAGTGACAATGGTCAGTTTACAAGATGTGCTACTCACATTTTGTTTAATTTGCAATGCTCTGATTTCCCATCATTATATATGTTTTTACAACAGCTTGACACTCTATATTTGGCATACTCGTAATCATGGTATGCTCGTGGTTCTATATCCAATATTCTTGAACGGATTCGCTCAATAAGTTAAAATTTCAGACCTAGACCTGAAACCGCCCAGAAAACCTGCTCGGAACAAACTGTCCTCTGCCTCCTTCAACAGAGTGCTAAGGAAGATAGACCACACCAGTAACAATACCATGTTCCTGGATAGACCTGGTAAACGTCTCAAGAACAGACCGAGAAGTATGAGCAGTCTTAATTCCCACAACAAGGTATGTCATAGTCATTAAGTTCCGGCGTTATGTACGTACAAATTGTTGGTTGAGACATTGTGACTCTGTCAGTGAGTGTTATTCAAAATATTCAAAATTCTAATTGATAGAGAATATAGCCGTGATAGACTGATTAAAGGCATTAAACGTTGTCTGAGGAAATATGATAACGTTTTCAGGAAGTTCGGTATTCTAGATGACCGTAACATTATTAAAGAACTCCCCTGATATCTTTTGATTTATTGAAACACGGGTACTAACTCTGCTAAACTGAACAAATTCTGAAACTTAGGTGAATAAGTGTACAACGTGCTAAACCGAAGTTCAGACTGACCAGTGAAAATGGGCGAGCGTACCAAGTGTCATTTTAATTAGAAGTTTTAGTCAGTGATTTATTATTGAAGCTTGTAATTACAATATCTAATGCTCCTATAAATACTTTAATTAATTGTTTGTCCCGTTATTCTTTTTCCTTCCTCTTTTCCTTGTCATCCCCTTTAGTTTTAAGATTCTTGCTATAAATGGCTACAGCTAACACTATTAATGCTAAGTACCAAACAACAAGTGGGAGGTGGATCGTTGGTACCATTAAATCGATTTAACACCGCAATTCCAGTCGCAAGCCTGGGACCACTACTAGCATAGTCACAACATCTACAAAGCTGCCATATAGCCTGACTGACAATTTTCTCGACTGACTGACAATGTTTCTTTTTTTTTCCCCCATTTAGAATACAAAGATTAGTACATTTTAGCTTATGATTAATATTATATTTTTACCTATAGTTTACTTAGATTTTGTATGTCAATATTTAGATTTATTTCACAAAATAATTAATCTGGTTATTAGCAGATTATCGGAAATAAAACTGTAACGTTGTTGTTAACTTCAGCCACAGAACACTCTGGAGCAAAAAGAGAATCTAGTGAGTATGTACGCACTAGCGCCCGACATTGCTGACATGGTTGCGAGCGTATATCAGAACCAGAACTCTATTAGCACCACCACACAAGTCGTCCCGGAGCGGGACGAGAACAGAACCTTGGGAGCGTCTCCAGTATCTTGTGCCACGGGGACACCCAGGACAGGAATCAGGAGGAACCCTAGTTACGAGGCTGCGGAGTTCGTGATGCACGATGTAGAGAGCGAGGGAGAAGACGATGAAGAAGGGAACGTAGAGCCTAAACAAACCAGCTTACTTCCTGACGGTCAGGAACATCTCAATTCTTTCTATTTCTTGTTAAAACTGTCAGTTTTTAAAACAGTTAAATCATTAAAGTTCTACATCCCAAATATGTCCTAATAAAATAAGTAAATCATTCAATTTTTCAGAGTCTAATCCGGAGGCGACAGAAAGTGAACCACTACCCACCAAATCCCCTAAGAAGGGGATCAAACAGCGGCTTAGCTTCAAGAAGAAGAGAGACAAGGGGAACACTCCCCAGAAGGCGAACACTCCTCAGAAGGCGAACACTCCTCAGAAAGCTAATCTTAAAAGCCTGCCTCCAGAGACAGAGAAAAAGCGGACGAAGAAACAATGTGTTGTGATGTAGTCATACGAGATCATGCTGAGTAACTCAGCTTGTAAATATCATGGTCACTTTTCGGTTTGTTGATGGGTGGATTTTGGGTTTTAAATCTGAAGGATTTAAAGGATTTGAGCCTTAATATACTGAATACTTCATTCAGTCATTTTTCTCCATTACAAGTACACAGGAAACATCCGCTTTGCTCCACAATTGCATTGCAAGGAATTTGTGGTCCGAAAAAGTGTAACAGCCAAACAACGGATCGATCACGATGAAATTCGCTTCCTTAATTTTTGACGATTTAATAATATTTTGCTGTTTATAATATTATGGAATAATGTTATAATTTTCCGTTATGATTGTCAGAAAATTACACTTGATTTTTCACGATTATTTAAATTATTGTATCAGAAAGCTTTCAATAAATTAATATAAATTAATATTTTTTGTGGCGAACGCAATTGGTGTGATGTTTAATTTGTAGCTAGAACAGAGATGTTGTTCTTAAATTACTTGATATTAACGACCCTACTGATTATGTACGTACCATTATATCAATTTTGGCTAGTTTCCGAGCAATTACGTAACTCATCGCACGACATTTTAATTGGTTATCTTTTGAAAACGTACCTTTTACGCACGTTTAAAACATAAAAGTTTGATTTTACCAACTCTTATGTAGACTCTAATTTTGCCGAATGATAGATTTTTTGATGTTCTGGACCGGTAAAAATAAGATTGTTCTACCGTATTGTCAGCTAGCTCACCATTTTGTATAATAAAGTTTTTAAATCAAAACTCATTCACAAAATGTTTAATTTGACCGAAAACACCAACATCGTGGGAAATGCAGAAAGCCTAATTTACTTTTAAAATATTAATGTCTGCTGAACAGACTCCATTAAACTACGATTTCTTGAATTGACATTTGACTTTCCTCGTCACCGACTATCATGGTTGTGAATCAAGCATCACAAGGATTTAATAGCAATAATGTGCAGACCCAGTGTACAGTGATTATCATTGAGATTTGGTTCTGTCCGCCAGCTTCACAGCTTAAACAGACTAGATTTCTTTTGCCAGAGTGTTCTGTGAGGGTTGAAGAGTCAGGAAGCTCCAGAAATGGAGCCTCTATGGTGGACAGGGACGTCATTTTAGGTTTACAACCTACCAGGACGCGTGCCGAGTTGGATATAGGGAACAGATATTATACGAGTATCACCCGTTAAGGACGTCAGTGGCCGGCGAGATCCAGTACGCACGTACGGGTTTGAACAACAATGCCAGTGTTTGAACCCGGCGCGTTACCGTGAATCAGTACTATACAGTCGAGCACAGCGCGCCTAAAGTAAGCTGCGCTCCCGCGCCGCGCATGCTAAATGCTTCACGTTGGTGCACTTAGCACAAGAATAGCCAGAAATTGCACTGCCGAAATTGTGTACTTTTCTCATTTCTAAAGACGTCAAGTCGGTTATGTTACTGTTTCGTTGCTCAGAGGAGGCATTTATAGAGCGAATATCACTAAATCAAAAACTATCATTACTTCCAACTGAAGAGAAGATAAACAAACTAATATTTTGCGTCTATTCTCCCACGTAATAATTTAAAGTGCATTCCAATTACTAGCACCCGATGGCCAGAGGGCTTAAGATTAGCAAACTAATATTGTTTATTTTAAGATACATATTACCGATAAAAAGACGGGTAATTAAATACATACATTCATTTGAAATCAATTTCTTACTCGGGTTATTTTTAGCAGTATCAATCAAACAACTAATCAATCACACGTTGATGAACGTCCCGCATTCTTTCATCAAAATGCTTAGTGCAGTATCAAACCTCACAGAGCGACAGGAATTCTTCTCTATAAAAATAATAATTTCAGATGATAAAAAGGTGTCGTTAAAATTTGTACAAAACATAATGAAATCAGGTACAAGAAGAAACATCGAGAAGGTGAAAAGTAACGAACCACCCTTCTCCGCGAGACAAGGCATTTAAAAAGGATATATTATACTAGCACACATGTCTACGATACATCTGCAACATTGATACAACTGGGTGAAAAACGCACTCATATCAGCTAACTCTTATACACTGTCTATCTACACATAGTACTACACATAGTACTACCCAGTACTTATATAAGCGGAGATCCTATCATAAATACAAGACTCAAAAAAGGCGCCGCTGATGCATCTTCAGCTCTAGAAGTCAAATACAACTCTGCTTTTAAAAACTCTAAAATTCATGTCTTTCTTTTCCGTTTTCCGCCTGGTTTCCGTCCTTTGGAGGGTTTGCTGAGGAGTTTCTTACAAGGAGGACAAAACCAGTCGACATCATCTGGTGGAGCCTGTATCAACCCGACACAGGGCCTGAAACAAAAACATCATTAGATCACATCTTATTTAATCGTAGATAGCGGAAATAAGTCAGAAAACAATCTATAAAACAGGAAGTGTACGTCACTCGTTTGATATATCGTAATGTCTTGAGATTTAACAGAATACAGAACAATGATCTTATTGCTTGTCTTGGGCTCGGTATTAAAAAGAGAGCTGCTCTCTGTGTAACAACATTCATAATTAGTTTAACATTGGATACCGTTTATAATAATAGAAGTAATATTGTAACCCACCAATGATACCACTCGTCGCACCTATCGCACCCAACCATGGGGGACCCGTCGTCTGGTAACATACAGGAGGGACAGTACCATATCTTGATAGTATCTCCCTGGCAAAGATTCAGGTGTTATTAATGGTGATTATAGTGTAGTTCTTTTGAGTTAATAAGTAGTTAAATTAGTTACATATTTAGTTAGTTAGTTAGTTAGTTAGTTAGTTAGTTAGTTAGTTAGTTAGTTAGTTAGTTAGTTAGTTAGTTAGTTAGTTAGCTAGTTATTTGACTAGTTTTTATAACTTAATTAAAGACTACACCAAATCCGTAATATCCAAAAATTGTATTCATCGTTCGAGAGCTGTATCTAAAATAGTGTTCCCGTTTATTGAGATAAGAAAAGGCTCTTATCAGGATGAAGAGCCTTTTCCTTATCACAATAAACGGGAACACTACAAATTTTGCCCCAGAATCATTATCACAATGCGACTAATAAATAATGTTCCGATCAGGATATTACATAAAATAAGGTCATATTATTTATTTCATATACACATTACACACCCCCATTATGATAATATAGTATAGACTTGATACAATAGTTGTTTCCAATAAAACTGCTGATATAAACCATTAAATTTACACGAAATGGCAGTGTATTCTACTGTTACTAACAAACAACTCTTATAGATAACACATAAACTCAGTAAGAATTCATCATGAAAAGGAGGTGTTTGGTAATTACGAAGGGATAAAAAATAGTATGCTGTTGAGTGTGAAATTAGTTGTTATTATATCAGAGGAAATACCTTCTCAATAACTTGTCTTGGTCAAAGACGATCGTCAAATGTAGATACAAACGATGTTTGTAGAGGTATATTTAGAGGTATATTTAGCTTTGTTCACATAAATTAATTATTGTCAGAATAAGATAATAATAAGATAATAAAAGTAGTATAGTGCTCTCTCACAAATCCATGTTTTAAAACGATTATTATAAACCCTTTGCATTAAAAACTGCACGAACAGCTATAGCCTATACAGCACTGGACAGACCTCGACAACCTTGTATATATACAAGGTTGTTTTGTTATTTGTTACGCTACGATATATCGTAGCGTAACAAATAACAAAACATTTTAACAAAAGGCACACTCCAATAAGACTTACCCCAGTCTGAGCGACAGTTTCCGAGAAAACAGTTTCACTGACAAGAGAACTTTCCAGAAGCGGTGTCACTGTCGTATCTGGAACGTTACGGGTATCATTTTCTCGACAAACAAGTAATCTGTGGGACCGTGAGTGCATCGCGTGTACGATATAATGTGTTCCAGTAAAAGTTTGGGAAACCTACCGAACGGTTCTGCTATCGGTTCTGGTATCGGCTCTGATTTTATCACGACGGGCTTCTCTTTCGGTGGGACCTAAAAACGAATTAAACGGTTGTTATGACAGTAATATCTAATAGATACGAATATTGAAAAAGCAGGACCAGTTTATTTGCAACAGTAGACGGTTCAATCTACGATTTTTGAAGCTGGTTTAACAAAAATGTATGGTTAAAGATAAAAAATTATTGTAAAATAACATACCCTCTCTAACGATTTCGAGAACTTAGATTCTGTTTTTATTTTCTTAGTCTTCTTCTCCTTCTTTTCTTTTTTAATTGTAGGAGCAGGTGATTTAGGTGTTAAAGGTTCAGACTTGATCGACAAACTGCCAGGATCCGGCAGTTTAATCTTCAAAGGTTTGATAGGTTTAGGTGGCGGTTTAGGGGCTAGTTCAAGACTATTTATTGTTGTAGAGGAAAAGGACGCTGGTGAATCTGGTGACTTCAACGAATTGCCTCCAATCTTGATTTTTATCTTTGGTATTTTCAGAGAAGCGATAGCTGGCTTTTCTTCCCCCTTTTCTGAGATTAAACTCTCGTCGATTCTCAGAGAGGGTTGACTGTACATGGATATATTTTGATCTTGACTTTCTGAACTTGAAGGAATATTGAGTTTCAATTTCATTGAAGGTTTCGGAGAAGGCTTGGGAGATGTGATAGATACTGCAGTTGATGGGGTGACCCCAGATTTACCTATTTTGATTTTAGTAGTCAAGCCGCCAGATTTCTGCTTTTTTCTTTCCGTTTCAATAGCAGGAGCAGGCACAATCGGAGGCTGTTCAGCTTTCTTACCAGTACTCGGAGATGATTCAGAGGGTGGCCACGGGTTTTTCAGCTCAGCCTTGGTTTTAAATGTCCGTTTGTCCGATTTAGAATCAGATGCCTTCTTCACTTTCTGAGATTTTTTGGGTAATAAGTCTTCAAACCCATCTAAAGAATCGGAAGAAAGTGAACTCAAATCGTCTTTGCTATCAACAGTACTTTTAGATTTGATTTTCGAGCTCTTAACATTTTTCAGTGAAATCTTTAATGAAGTTGTCTTTTCCGTATAGGCCAATGGTGGAGTAGCAGGTTTAGAAGGAGGATCTTTCTTAGGGATCGGTTCTTTCTTAGGAATCGGTTCTCTCTTGGGAATCGGTTCCTTCTTAGGAATTGATTCTCTTTTAGGAATTGACAGAGTGATAGGGGCAATCTTCAGTTTCGTTGGTTCAATTGATGACAAATTAGGTGATGCAGAATTAACTGACGTTTTACTGACGATAGCAGCTTCAGTCTTCTCTACGTTTTTTTTGAGTTTGTCAGATTTGTGATTGGGAATTTTTATTGGGCGGTCATCGAACAAGTCTATAGATTTGGCAACCTCCTTCTTCTTAAGCTTTTTAGGCTTCGTGCGATGTTTAATGCTGGTACCATGGTTTAGAGACTTTTTGAGCAAGTTGGTATATTTCTGATTCTCTGCATGTTTGCTCTGATGATTTTTATCAGTCTTAACTGGTTTTTTCGGAACTGAATTGTGGTTGTTCAAGAGTTTACATTCCGGTTTAGGTTTAGAAACAACATCATTTTTGATGAGGTCAGGTCGATTTTTCAGGAGGTTCTTCTCAGTGTTGAGGAGAGCTGGTGAAGATGGGCTATCAAGCTTCCTTCGTTTACTGGGAGGTGTTTTGGGCGATTTGTTCAGATTACTGACAATAGAAGTAGCTGGGTTTTCCATGGGTGATAGTGGTTTGAGAAGACGGTCAAAGTTTTCTTTGCTTGTCATCTCGTCAGAACTCGAGCCACCAAAACCAAAATCATTGAAATCCTCAGAGTCACTATCATTCACATTATTCGTGTTTGTAACTTCAGGCTTCTTGACGGCTGTCGTCTCTGATTTTTTAACTGTTTCAGGAGCAAAACCATCTTCCATTTGCATTACGGAAGAGTGATTTTTGACAGGCTTTGGTGAGTGATTAAATAGTTTTTGTTTGCAAGGAACACCGTTCTGTCCATTTTTGATAGTTGGCAGCTTTTCTGAATTTACGATCGGAGTGGATGTACCCATCGATGGAAAAAAAAGAGAATCGTTGAAAGCTGATTCTTGGGACGATTTCTTACTATCCACATGGTTTTTCAGTGGCACAGACTCTGACGGTAAGGTGGAATTGCAGTCCATCTCTACAAGTGTACTACCATCACCAGACAGATTCTGAGAAGCTAATGAATCGTTTTGAGAGTTTAAAACATCACTATTTGAAACTTTACTTTCTTCAGTAGGTTTGTCCTCCTTCGACTTCTCCTCTTTAGCTTTGTCCTCCTTGGCCTTTTCCTCCTTAGCCTCCTTTTCCTCTTTGGCTTTGGTATGCTTTGAAGCAAATACGAAGTCGTCTGAGTTTTCAGTTATATGGAAATTATCAGGAGAGGAACGGGACTGTTTCTCAGTTTTACAGCTGACAGAGTTCTGAGTTTGGGATGGTTTTGATGTATCGATGGTAATTCGCTGAAATCCCCAACTGGACATAACAGGAGCAGGTAAATCAGTCTTGTTGACAAAGGGGAAATTAGGCGCGGAGGGAGTTGGGGCAGCTGCTGCTTCATCAAACGGATCAACTGTAGGTTCGGCAGTGGATTCATTCAAAGTGGCGGTACTTTCTTCCTTCACCGTCTTTTCTGAAGAAAAATTCGGCATCAGTAAAATGACACAATGAATAATCGACCACACGTATTGTTGGTTGATAATGATATAAAAACTTTTCAAAGAACTTAACCGGAGACACAAATAACTGGGACATAAACGACGCGAGGTGCAATCGGGGAGGTTTCACAAGTACATGACAGTAAATTAGCGATTAGCTAGGAAAATTGATCAATCAAATTCTTGGAATCATTCCAACGAATCAAAAGATACTTGCTCCACCTTCCCGCCGTTTTCAATGGCTATTATGACAGCTCAAGCCGTATCATATGTTTCGATAAAATGACAAATATAATGTATTTAATATCAAACCCTCGTCTTTGACAGGCGATTCTTGTTTGATGGTAAGGGAGGGAAGGTAATCTGGAACGTAATCTGGGTGCAGGTGGCCTGAGGACGATTCCGGGATATTCAGGTTGGTTGTTGGTTGATGGGGAAAATTGCATACCTGTGGGAAATCATGGTTAGAAATTTGATGTGGAGAAGCTCGAATAGAGTTTTCAAAAGCTATATGCATTTGCTACTCTAGCAAGAATTTTTTTTAAATGCCTTTAACCATCATGTATATGTCATCGTTCTTTGACTTTAAAACCCTTCCAAAGGATGACCACACACCAATTTTATGATCTAAAAATCAGTTTAATTCATGTAATAATAATAATAATAATTAATTAAACTTTTATATTATAGTGGCACAACAACTTGAAATGCACAGGTGTGTTCAGGACATAATAAAACCTAAATAAAAGCAACCCATATTTATATTCTAAACCAGGTAAGGGTAAATAGACTTGATACACTAAATAAACGATACTATGTGTATGCATTTTCCAGTAGAAACAATTAGGGAATTAACTAGGATTGAAAAATATTAAGATACAATTAAATAAATATTATGAGCACGTTTGAAAAGAAATGTTCCAGATACACTTTAAAAGAGTCCAATGTTGTACAATTCTTAATTTCAAATGGTAGTTCATTCCATAATTTAAACATTGTACTTAAATAGTCTGGTCCCATGCCATTAAGACATTTATAAACAAGAAGTAATAATTTGTACTGAATTCTGTAACTGATAGGCAGCCAATGAAGGTCTTTCAGATTATCTCCTAAATGATCATGTTTATAGTCCTACTATAGCTTTAGCAGCAGCATGTTTAAGCAAGTGTTTATGCATTTGCTATTTGCAAGAATTTTTATATGCCTTAAACATCATCGTTCTTTGACTTTTGTACCCTTCCAAATTCCAAAGGATGACCACTAGATGCCCAATTAGAATAATTTCAAAAGCAGTTTTATTCAATTAACGAGATCTTACTTCATAGACATAAGATATCCCTGTGAGAAAACAGCGGGGCCTACTACCTCTATTAATATCCTAGGCTACTTGGTCTCAAAAGGTCAGATGAGACCTGATCCAGACCGCATGGAGCCCTTACTTAAACTGCCATTGCCTAAGGACCCTGCTTCCTTGCAGAGAGCTCTCGGTTTGTTTTCATACTACTCACGGTGGGTAGAAAAGTACTCAGATATGGTCCAGCCACTCATTAAGGAACCCTCATTTCCACTGTCAGAGACTTGTAATACTGCTTTCGAGAGTATTAAATCAAAAATCGCAAGTTCATGTATCGTGTGTCCCAATGATCGTGATAATCTCGTCCTTGAATCAGATGCTTCTGAGTTTGCCCTTTCCGCTAGTCTTAACCAAGGTGGTAAGCCTGTTGCATTTTTCTCTAGGACCCTAAAAGCACATGAACGCAGACACCACGCTGTGGAGAAGGAGGCCTGCGCTATTGTTGAAGCATGTCGAAAATGGCAACATTATTTAGCAGGACGAAAATTCACTCTCATCACCGACCAACAGGCTCTCTTTCATGTTTAGTCATCAGACCCACGGGAAGATCAAAAATAATAAGATACAGCGCTGGAGGATCGAGCTCTCCACCTTGGACTTTGATATCAAGTATCGGCCCGGGCCCGAAAACGTCACTGCCGACTGCCTTTCGCGAGCCTACTGTTCAGCCCTCGCCTATGGTTACCCTGACCTGGTTGATATTCATGAAAATCTCTGTCATCCAGGTGTGGCCAGGTTATATCACTTTGTTAGGGTCAGAAACATGCCTTTCTCCATCGATCAAGTCAAGAAAGTAACAGCTGATTGTGGGGACTGTGCTAGGATTAAGCCCAAGTTCATCAGACCTCTAAACCCTCCGCTAATAGAAGCTACAAAACCCCTGGACCGAATTAGTATTGATTTCAAGGGACCCCTCCCATCGAGCACAAAGAATAAGTATATGCTGGTCATCATAGATGAGTATAGCCGGTTCCCCTTTGTCTACGCCTGCCCTAACATGGAATCTTCTACCATAATCAGATGTTTATCTAACTTGTTCTCTATGTTTGGCACGGTAGGATATGTACACTCGGACAACGGCCCCTCCTTGATAAGCAGTGAGCTCCGTAAATTCTTCCTAAATCACGGGGTAGGGTTTAGTAATAGTTCGAAGTACAACCCCCGTGGTAATAGCCAGGTTGAACGTTACAATGGCGTCATATGGAAGGCTATTCAGCTAGCACTATCAAGCAAAAAGTTCCCTCTGACCCATTGGGAGATAGTCCTACCCGAGGTACTTCATGCTCAAAGGACTCTGCTCTGTACGGCCACTAACCAGACTCCCCATGAACGCCTTTTCTCCTTCCAAAGGAGATTCGCTTCCGGAAAACCAGTCCCTTCTTGGCTATTGACTCAAAAAAAAGTGCTGGCCAAGAGGCACGTTCGAAGGTCTAAGTATGATCCATTATGTGACGAGGTCGATCTTGTCTCAGTCAACCCCGCAAATGCTAGAGTCAGGTACCCAGGGGGCCGCGAGGACACTGTTTCGTTGAGGGACTTGGCACCTCTACCTGTCAGCGAATCTAATGCCGAAAACTCCACAGGATCTGCTGTAAAGGAAATACCCCCAGTTGCAGTGACCCCCTCTGTTACGGTCGCTCCATCTACTCCCGCTCCCTCTAACCCTCCAACCTCCTCCTGTATCCCTGAACCGTGTCATCTCTCCGAACTGCCTGAGCCCAACCCCCGCCGTTCAACTAGGGAATCTCGTCCTCCTGACCGCTTCCAGGCTGGTTAGACACTTGATCGTGCTTGATCACCGCGTGAATTTCGAGACTTTTCACTATTGATGAGACATTTTATATTTGGCAGTTTTAAAGCCTAAATTATAATTTATGCGTGTGTACGTAATGGCGCCGTCACTCTGTGGCAGCAACCTGATTACTAGTTTACGTAACGCGCGGGGACTTTCGCATATCTGGAAGCCGTCTCCATAAACATTTCTAATCTAATTATCTTATGATATAGCGCAGCCGCGCGGAGACGATATTACGTTTATATTCGCCGTTGTATATCTCAGTTTTATGAACCGTTTTTTACCGTTTTATAATTTAAATTTTACCCCTGTTTTATAGTTTTGTGAGAGATTAAAGTAATTTTGACTTCAATATTGACTTCTATTATTTAGCTGGGGAGAATGTCGTGAGATTTATTATTACTAATATGTACTATTTACAGGATGTTTAATATTTAATGTAACTCTGTTAACAACTGTCTCATTTGGTAACTCTCGACACACAACAACCTCTAAAATCTAGAATGAGTGTATATACATAGCTAAGTCATTTTAACAAATAACATACCTGGGGGAGGCCCCTGTTGGGTTCTGTTTCTGACCACATTGTACGCAGGTCAGATAATCTGATACCAAGGTCACTAAACGCATTTCCAAGATCATCCAAATCTGGCTCATATCGTCCACCTGCAAATATTCTCATTAAACTGGGTTTTCAGCAATTTCGCTGGTTAAACATGAAGATTTAAAAGAATCGATGTTCCCCATAAAAATTATATGCATCTTCACAATGCATATATAATACTAGGCGCAATAAACTGACATATATCAATCAATAAATTCTAGTGGAGTACTCACCATGAAGGGAATATCTGAGGGATAAAATTCCTATGTTTCTAATGTAGTGCTGGGCAATGTCTGAGAACATAGACAAGCCTGATCGTGAGGCTTGATGCCACCCCTGTTGTTTGCACATGTGTGCTAGGGAGGAGACGAGCAGATGCTCAGCGAACTCATCTGCCATCCTATCATGCCCTGAATGCAAACGATAATAATGCTGGGTTCAACATGATTTTTACTAAAATGCAAACTCCTTCAAATCATTTAAAATAAAAAATATTTAACATTGGAAGAATACATATACATTTTAAGGTTGCCACTTCAATGGATTTTGCGAAAGCGAATAGTCAGCAAACCCCTGTACTGTACCCCGTTTAACATTGCAGAGTGAAAAGCGATATTCATTAATCATTACATTATTTCTTAGGAGATTTGTTTATTATTCTAAATTGCCTAAACATGCTCAAAACCAAGCTTTGGGTGCTCCACTTGTAGCAACTTGTTTCCAGAACTAATTATAAATTTAAATGATCAAATTTTTTTTTAAATGTTGGCAAAAACTGTATGATTATATCTTGGGCATAAGCACAAATTTTGGTAGATAAATTGGTAACATATCAATATTTTTGGATGAGATGAACTTTATATGAAAGGTAAGCACTATGCCTAACCTACATATTCTCTGTAATTAACAGCTCAATATCTGTTTATCTGTTCAAAAGGAATACAAATGAGGATTCTGTGGTAAAAGACCACCAAACCTAAACAAAACCGCCAATATCTCAATTTGTGATATTCACGAAAGTGATTTATATTTTTGATTGGAATTTTGGCGGCCGATTTTTTTTAATTTAAGGTTTTCGGTGAAACTTGATTGAGATCTAGCAGTTCAGGGCCTGCACCTTGAAAATAAAGGTTGACAAAGTTCGACAAAGATTGCATGACTGCGTTATAAAGGATAGACAACTGACAGGAAAGGAATGTTAATATTGCAAGTAGACAATACACAACTTATGGAATACCATAGGAAGTGCTCTCGTTTCTCCTATTCTCTGTCTGTAATAAAAAACACATCTGAAGAAGTCTTAAGATATATGTAAGCTGGTGTAAATTCGCCAGTGCTTTCTTTCAAGAACATCTCAGGATGTCATAAAACTATGTAGATGATTCATGATCATCTTAGCAAGTACACTTAGCTAGGTGATGATCATTTAACAACAATTTTAGGGTGCTGCTAGCATCAAAGAGATTTCAATTGCCATATCGATCACCAATATTTGAAACAGCAGTTTACTAAAGAAAGTCATCAAATGCGCTATATTGAGCAGCTCTGTATACATTTAGTTAAGCACAGTAAAATGTAATGTATCGAAGGGTATACCAAAAAGATCCTTTTTTGCAGCCCCCCCCCCCCCTCTGGTCTCTGCTCATTGAAACCTTTCGCTCATTGGGGGGGGGGGGGGTACCACTGTCCATTTTGTCCATTTTGTCTTTGTCTTTTTTTACATTTTTTTGTGACAAAATGGACAATACTAGGGACAAAAGGGACAAAAGGGACAAAAATTTTGGACAAATGAGACAAAAAATGAGACAAGCTCAAATGTAGAGAATGTATATATTCTACTCGACATCAACAATTTAGATTTTCATGTCAGTGTTTTGCTGTGCTTAGAATCAACTGAAACCACTGAAGGGACTGAAATAAGCAGAATTCATCAACGGCAGCACATAAATAAATGTGTACACGGTTCAGTCAATATAATTTCATTAATCCCATTAATCAAGTGGTGATATCAAAAAAGTCATCATCTTTTAATATCATAACGCTCATAGCGGCCAGAAGCAGATACCCAGACCCACACAATTACTTTTCCATTAACAATATGCCGACAATATCAAGCTAATGGGTATTCGTTTTTTCCTATGAAGTAGGAGAAAAAGCATGCCCATCCTCTAATCAAGATTTTCTTATTCCTCCTCTTTTTCCTGAACATTTGTCTCGTTTGTCCCTGTCCTTTTTGTCCATTTTGTCCCAGTCTTTTTGTCCATTTAGTCCTTTTTGTCCCCGTCTTTTTTGTCTTTTTTGTCCCTATTATCTTTTTTGTCCCTTTTGTCCCTCTCGTCCCTTTTGTCCCTTTTGTCTTTGTCTTTTTTCAGTTTTTTTTGTGCAGGGATAAAATGAACAGTGGTACCCCCCCCCCCCTCATTGAAACCGAGCTTCTTCCCCAACTATTCGGCTGGGTCAACCGAGGAAATAGAAAGGTTCTTCAATCACCAACATTGTATCTTAATATTTTTCAATCCTAGTTTCCCTAAATGTTTCTACTAGAAAATGCATACACATTAACATTTATTTAGTGTAGCAAGTCTAATACCCTTACCTGGTTTTGAATATAAATGTGGGTTGCTTTTTAGGTTTTATTGTGTCCTGAACTGTTTTCGTGGCACACCTGTGCATTTTAAGTTGTTGTGCCACTATAATATAAAAGTTTAAGTTATTATATTATTTAGAAGAACTTTATGTTTTATTAATTTAGGTACCATGCCGTCTGGTTTTTGGATTAAAGAAGAGAGACTCAGTCGAGGAGAAGCTCAAATCCCTTCATAGTCAAGGATCTGACGACATTCCCGTCTATATAACTTCCGCCCCGGGGTTTGAGACTTGGAATACCTCAAGGGACCCATTAGAAACAAATTTGGCTTGGGTAGAAATTTTGGCTATGGGGCAGTTTTGCGCAATTGACCACGCCCTTTTTTGGCGCTTTTGCAACTTTAGAATCAAAATAACTCCGCTTCTAATTGGAATTAGAAGCTCAGCTTGGCTTTAAAGTTGTTCAGAATCATCACATTTAGGGGGGTAGAGCATAATTTTAAAGTCAACAGACATCGGGTTGTTGAGTTATGTGACCACACCCTTATTTACCCTCGCGAGTCGTGATTTTCACACTAAATACGAGATTTGATTGAAATAAATTTTCGTGCACATACAGAATGGATGGTTAATAATTTAATATACAGGGTGGGCCAAAAGTCAGTACCCATACGTTGGCCTTAATAGCTCCGCCGTGTTTTATATTTGAGAGCTGTTGCTTTGCAGATGGCATACTGTACTTACTGGTTCGAGGATTCCGTCGTCAAAATTTGAAAATTCGAATATTTTAGACCACGCCCATTCAATATTAAAACACCTATATTGTTTTCTCTGAACATGCTGAACGCCTAATTTTTTCAGAGATGGTAGATTTTCAAATGTTGCATATGATCTGAAAACATGAGGCAAAATGGATTAGAAATAAAGAAGTTATCAAGCATTTTCTGTATCTCGTTAACAAAATTGACTGGATGATTATGTGACACCATGACACGACACCTTAATTGGGCACCCTTAACAATTCCCATAATGTTTAACGGGGAAGTTAACGGGGTCACCTTATCACGTGATTAGGTAAACCAATCACCTGATCACACGTAATGAATAAACTCGTTATGCTTTATATCTCGGTCATCTGAGAAGCTACAGTTCTAATTCTTTCAGGACAAACGTAATTCGAAAATCCAAACACAATTCAATAACGTTTAGCTTGATCCGACTATCCAAACTATCAAATAAATGTGAAAATGAACCTCCATTTGAAAAAAATGAACGCTAATATTTTTCGAGTTGACAAATTCCTCGAACCAGTGGTGGTACTAAGTCATACCAGAAAGAAGTATTTAAATTGGGCACTCAGTGACTGAGCTATAAAGGCAAACGTATGGGTACTGACTTTTGGCCCACCCTGTATATGTAGACCAAGCTCTGTGCACGGGATGCTTCCTGGAAGAATCCAGTTCTTTTAGCGGGGCACCCTACCTAAAGCCAAATTGAGATATAATAATCATATTCCTAGAGAAATAATCAGAAATCGAATACCAATCAAATAATATGATATATATGAGTAGTAACCATATTTACTATGCAAAATGCCCCAACCACATAGTGTAAATTTATATAGAATTCAAATTCCATATCATCATTAAACCTCAATACCTAGTCAATATAATAGCCCAAGCAAAATTAAATAACTTCTTATATACCTTACTGTCATACTACAAATTAATTAAACATTTGAAATCTGTTGACCAGAGAATAAATTTCTAAGCCTAATGCAAGTGAAATAATTTAGATGCAATAATGAATGCCTAATGTGAGTATCATTTGTCAATGTCCTTGTAAAAAAGTCTGTACAAGAGATATGAGTAACTAATATAGAAGAAAAAACAGGAAGTTGTCGTCTGTTGTAAAATAAATAAAATATCTAGAATATAAATTAGAATATAAAATAACATTCAGTCAATGTGTCGTCAATAAACTGTACAATTATCAAATGTTAAAACTGGGTGATACAGTCACCAAAAATAAATACTAAGTATGATAAGTTAATAAATTAAATGTGGTCTATAAAACTACCACTAAGTATAATAGGTCAATAAATTAAAAGTGGTTTATAAAACTACCACTGTGGGAACCCCTTCTCCAGTTAAAACATGTCAGTCATGTGCAAAATCAATCAGAATGGTAAGGTGGTAAAAAAGGGAATATCTTTTCGATACATCATTTATATATGCCTCAGATTTAAAAGAATTAGAAGTTACTTAGTTATCGGCGACTATGATTGCAGTGTAAAATTTGTCATATGAATTGTCGACGGTATAATTAGGGTCTGTTGTTATAGATGATAGTAGCTGTTTCTTATACGAATCACTAAAGCTTTTAACATCGGGCAGATTTCGTAGATCTGTTGGAACATTATTCCAACATTTTGCCCCCAAGTATTGAAAGTTTTTATGTGATGTTGATCTATTGACATAAAGGTTGCAGCTTTCGCCGCTCCTACTACCTCCTGATATGTAACTAAATTTGTTCATAAAGTTTGTAGGACAATTGTCATGGATGATTCTAAACATATAATTTGACAGATGGAGTTGTCGTCTAAGATGGAGTGGTAACCATTTCATGTCTCTATAAACATTAAGGCTGCTCTCTGTTTTTGGAACGTTGAGAGCTATTTTGGCTACCTTTTTGTACAGAGTGTCAAGTTCAGCAAGTTTTGTCTTGCCAGCTCTACAATAGATCGTGTCTAAATAATCGAATTGTGGCAACATGAGTGCATTGGCAAACATTTTCCTATATTTAATGGGTAGCAGTGCTTTACTTCTATACATGGCACCAATTCTCTTCATGACCTTCCTAATAATATAATCTACATGGCTTTTGAAGTTTAATTTACTATCTAGAATGAGGCCAAGATATTTTGTCTCTTTGCACTCCTTGATTGTGAAAGTTACCTCATTACAATCAATGGTTATTTCATCATGTTGGTCAACAGAATCAAACAATAGGAATTCAGTCTTCTTTTCATTGAGTGATAATTTATTAACACTGAGCCATTTAAAGATTGTCATAAGTTCTATTTTCATGTTTATAAATGTGCTTCTGCAGGTTTGATCAAAGAATAGTGCACCATCATCTGCAAATAGAAAGGGCTTAGATAGGTTACAGGCATAAATGATGTCATTTATGAAGATACTAAATAACATAGGCCCAATGATGCTTCCTTGTGGTACACCACTCAGAACTTCTAAAAATGAGCTTAGATTGCCATTGATCCTAGTGCATTGATATCTACAAGATAAGAAGTTCTTAAACCAGGTTAAAGCAATGCCACCAATTCCATAATATGCCAATTTTTGAAGCAATATTTCATGATTCACTGTGTCAAAGGCCTTCTTAAGATCAAGAAAGATGATTCCTGGTTTATAAGACTTAGATTTACTCATATATATTTCGTCCATCAGATCGTACATCAGATAAGTTGTGGAGTGATTTTTCCGAAAGCCATATTGATGCCGGATGAAAAGTTTGTTCTCTTCCATGTAATCAGTGAGTTGCTTGCCGACAAAGTATTCTATAAGTTTTCCTACAAGTGGAAGGATGGATATTGGCCTGTAATTATTAGGATCATCTTTCATTCCTGCCTTATGGATGGGAGTTACTCTAGCTTTTTTACAAAGGGTTGGTACAACACCTGTATTAAGGCTCAGATTGACAATGTGGGTCAGTGGCTCAACTATGTGTGGTACAGCTTGCTTAAGTAAAAATAGAGGCACATTGTCATATGAGGCCTTGTCATTCTTGAGCGTTTCGACATACATTAGGATATCAGTTTCATTTATTTCTTGGAATCTATCAAATGAGATATTAGAAGTTCTAGGAGGTAAAAAATCAGTAAAACTAACTCTTTCAATATTGGGGGCCTGATTTTGTAATCTTGATCCAACATTTGCAAAATGAAAGTTAAATAGCTCAGGATCATTCTCATTGATAGTTTGACAATTAGTTGTACCAGGGGTCATATTTGATGCCAGTTTGATAGTTTTCCATATCCCTTTAAGATCATTCTTGGCACTTTTAACTTGTAGATCATCGATTACATTAGCCTTTTTGCAGGTTTTAGCTAATTTATTTCTAATATTTCTCTGAATCTTGTAGCAATCCCAGGCCTCATTACACTTTATACATTTGCTACATGTACCACATTTATTGCAATTTCCATTGTCTCTCTTATCCTTCTTTTTACGGAATTTCTTTAGAAGAAAATGTGTATGATTAATGGCATATAAAAGTTCAGTAGAAGGTTTATGTATGAACTTTTCATGCCTTTCTATGGTCTTGCAAGGGAAGAAGGTTGCATATGCCTGTTCAATATGATGACAAAGGCCAGCTGTGATAGCTTCAACATCTGTACTTTCCAATAGTGGACTGTAATCAGAACAGGTGTCTAGATAGTCTAAGAATTGTTTAACATTACGTTTACAATGATTTCTAATTTCAACCTTCTCAAATTTAGGAGCTATAGGTACTTTACAATCTATCTCACACATAATAGCTTGATGATCTCCAATACGTTCATCAAGAACAGAAGATTGGACAAAATCTGCATAACAGTTAGTGAATATTACATCAATAGTAGTCTGGGTAACATTGTCTCCACGTTTAGCAACTCTAGTTATCCCTTGAATGGTTTGAACTAGATTGTAACATCTCAAGGTCATATCTAATTTTTTGTACTGGGTGGATGAGATATTATTCTGGTCAATGTTTATATCCCCAATCCAGATAACCTTTTTCCCATTCAATTTTTTCATGCAAAAATGAATGTATTCAATAAAGTTATCAACACTGCAATAATTTCCAGAGCGATAGAAGCAGCAAACATTGATCTTGCTATTCTTAAGCTTCACCCATAATGCTTCAATGTTATCAAGCTTACTATCCATAACTAATTCTGTGTAAGCTAGTTTTTTGTTTATCATTAAGCCACAACCACCCCTAGAACTGTTTGGCCTGTCGCATCGCATAATGTTGAAGGAGGAAGGAATATTTATGGTGTCTGTGTCAATAGTATCATTAAGATTCATCTCATTTAGGGAAAGTATGTCTAATTTATGATCTCTAATAAGTTGGGAAAGTTCATTACTTTTAGCTAAATTGAGAAGCCCTCCTTGAATGTTACAATGACCAATGCAGAGGTTGTGAAACCTATCAGCTGCATTATTAAAATTTGTCATCTTGTGAATCTTATTAATTCACAATGGAATGAATAAAAGTTGTAAAGTTGTGTTTAAACTAAAAAACAGAATAAAAGCAGGTTGTATTTGTCTGGATGTCGTACTGTAAAAATAAAACTGATGGTAGGAGTGTTATGTCAGTATTCAGCAGTATTCTAATGGTGTGCATGATACTTCAAGTGCCTTGCTAATTTAACTATGCCATAATCATTGAGATGGACATTATCCTCTCCATAACTACTAAAAAATGACGATTTTCTAAAGCCTTTCTTATCACTAAACAAGAAACGATTTGTCTCGGTTGAGAGCAGTTTTACATAGGTGTATTTTCTTTGCAGATTTGATATACACTCATTGATATCAGTTATAACCTTGTTTCTGGAGAAACTCTCCCGAGGTAATAAGTTAACAATTTTAATATCAGCTCCAGGTGCCCACTTGTGAAGGAAAAGTACAAGTTTTTCAATACAATTGTTTGTAAAGTCAAGAGCTCTAGCATCACCAGAAAAACTATCAGGGCACAGAAGTTTAGTCCTCATGTTGCGAGGGCTGTTCAGGATAGAGTCCACGTCATTTGTACCACACATAAGTACAATGCTTTTCACATTATTGGTATTAAGAGTGTCTTTTCTTACATCTGATTGAAACCGTTCATTGATTGCATTGGCTGTGGCACCAGGGTAGCTGAATACATGTGCCTCATGATGTTTGGACGATACTTTTCTCCCTCTAATTTGGAGAACATACTAGAGCTAATGTAGACACACAAAGATTTACCAGAATGTTCTATTGATCTAGTCTTAGGGGCCGAGGGTTCAGTGTTCTTAACTTGACTGGAAACATCAGACAGAGTAGATAAGGTTGCGCTGCCATCAATTAGGCGCAGAGTAATGCTTATTCTCATGGTTTCAGACTTGTCCTGGATGAGGCTGTGTTCAAAGCTGGTCTGGGATTGTCTGGTCATATTCATTATGTCACCATGGGAGAGGGTGAGGTCAGCAATATGAGCTCTAAGTTTGGATCTGAAGCTTAGGACTCTAGTAGCCCCTAAAGAGATGGTGGAGATCATGGAGCCTGGTGAAATTGACCTCTCGTCATCCGAGTGAAAGGGAATTCCTTGCTGACCATTTCTATACTTGGTAATCATAGCACTATTGAATTTCAATTTTGGGAACTGTGAGCGTAAGCGTTCTAGAATAGACTTTAGGTATGGATTGTCTGCTACTGGCCTTGTGTTATGAAAGCCTCCATTGTAAGCGTAAGGAAAGTCCCCGTAATATGCAACTGCCCTATTCTCAAACTTATGAGTATAGTGGGTTTCTATATCTAACTTGGCAGTGTCAACAAACTGAAAAACTCCTCGACTCAAATCTTGGTATGGATTGATAGAGTTGCTCACATCATTGTCACCATTTACAGAGTGTTTGGGATTTTCCAAATTGATAATTTCTGCTGAATGTTCACTGTCTTCTGCTAATTTGGATAGCTCTTGGGTTAACTCAGAAACAAGATGCGAGGATGACCTATTACTGAGGGGAACATTGATAGACTGTTCACAGTGATCAGGTACCTGGGGCAACACAGGGATAAGTGAACCATCGCTGAGGGGAACTTTGAGTGCACTGTCACTTTCTGATAATTGTTTATAGAGAAAAGAAATTTGCCGACGAAGACTATCATTCTCTCTTAATAGAGTTAAACAATTTGAACATTTATCAGTAGGACAAGAGCCGTTGCTGGGGAATTTAACAGAATTCCCTCGATATCTCAGATTGTAATGTCTTGAGCCAACTGGTATTCTAGACATAGTTTATCACAAAAAGATGCTACTGTTCGAAATTTAGTTAATGATTATAGTACCTTTGTAGCACTCCGGAGGATAAGGATAAGTGATGTCTGATAATCTTTAGGTGATAGATGGGAGTAAACTGCTTTAAAAACCGATGTCTGATAGTCCTTAGGATGTCTTTAAGATAACTTTATCGTGCAACAACCATTTACATTGACATACAACCTGTAATGGTCGTTACATTTACCGAGGCATTAGTTCCCACTGGGGGTCCTCAAATTATTTGTTATATAGTAGTGTTGAAAGTATTAAAACTCGGCTTCTGCACTGATTGAGCTACGTGCTCATCCTGGGCATTAAAATGTTCAGAATCATCACATTGAGTAGGGTAGACCACAATTTCAAAGTCCTCAGATGTCAGGTTGTTGAGTTATTAGGCCCCAACCTGTTTTTACGCTCTTGTGGGTAGCGATTGCAGCGCTTAAAATCAAAATAACTCAGCCTCCAATTGAAGTTAGGAGCAAAACTCGGGCAGCAAAATGTTCACAATCATCACATTGAGTGGGGTAGAACGTAGTTTCAAAGTCCTCAGACGTCAGGTTGTTGAGTTATTAGGCCCACACCATAATATTTACGCTCTCGCGAGTCGCGAGTCGACACTTAAAATCAAAATAACTCGGCTTCTGATTAGAGTTAGGAACTAAACTTGGGCATAAAAATGTTCAGAATCATCACATTAAGTGGGGTAGAACGTGGTTTCAAAGTTCTCAGGCGTCAGGTTGTTGAGTTATTAGGCCCACACAATAATATTTACTCTCTCGCAAGTCGCGAGTTGACACTTAAAATCAAAATAACTCGGCTTCTGATTAGAGTTAGGAACTAAACTTGGGCATAAAAATGTTCAGAATCATCACATTGAGTGGGATAGAACGAAGTTTCAAAGTCCTCAGACGTCAGGTTGTTGAGTTATTAGGCGGAACCCTATTTTTACGCTCTCGCGAGTCAACACTTAAAATCAAGATAACTCGGTTCCTGATTAGAGTTAGGAACAAAACTTGGGCATGGAAATGTTCAGAATTATCACATTAAGTGGGGTAGAACTTGGTTTCAAAGTCTTCAGACGTCAGGTTGTTAAGTTATTCGACGGAACCCTATTTTTACGCTCTCGCAAGTAGTGATTCTATGCTTAAAATCAAAATAACTCTGCTCCGGATTAGAGTTAGGAATTAAACTTGGGCATAGAAATGTCCAGAATTGTAAACATTTTTATGCCCAAGTTTAGTTCCTAACTCTAATCAGAAGCCGAGATATTTTGATTTTAAGTGTTGACTCGCGACTTGCGAGAGAGTAAATATTATGGTGTGGGCCTAATAACTCAACAACCTGACGTCTGATGACTTTGAAACTACGTTCTATCCCACTCAATGTGATGATTCTGAACATTTTTATGCCCAAGTTTTGTTCCTAATTCTAATCAGAAACCGAGTTATTTTGATTTTAAGTGTCGACTCGCGACTCGCGAGAGCATAAAAATAGGGTTCCGCCTAATAACTCAACAACCTGACGCCTGAGAACTTTGAAACCACGTTCTACCCCACTTAATATGATAATTCTGAACATTTCCATGCCCAAGTTTTGTTCCTAACTCTAATCAGAAGCCGAGTTATCTTGATTTTAAGTGTTGACTCGCGACTCGCGAGAGCATAAAAATAGGGTTCCGCCTAATAACTCAACAACCTGACGTCTGAGGACTTTGAAACTACGTTCTATCCCACTCAATGTGATGATTCTGAACATTTTTATGCCCAAGTTTAGTTCCTAACTCTAATCAGAAGCCGAGTTATTTTGATTTTAAGTGTCGACTCGCGACTTGCGAGAGAGTAAATATTATGGTGTGGGCCTAATAACTCAACAACCTGACGTCTGATGCCTTTGAAACTACGTTCTATCCCACTCAATGTGATGATTCTGAACATTTTTATGCCCAAGTTTAGTTCCTAACTCTAATCAGAAGCCGAGTTATTTTGATTTTAAGTGTCAACTCGCGACTCGCGAGAGCATAAAAATAGGGTTCCGCCTAATAACTCAACAACCTGACGCCTGAGAACTTTAAAACCACGTTCTACCCCACTTAATGTGATGATTCTGAACATTTTTATGCCCAAGTTTTGTTCCTAACTCTAATCAGAAGCCGAGTTATCTTGATTTTAAGTGTTGACTCGCGACTCACGAGAGCATAAAAATAGGGTTCCGCCTAATAACTCAACAACCTGACGTCTGAGGACTTTGAAACTACGTTCTATCCCACTCAATGTGATGATTCTGAACATTTTTATGCCCAAGTTTAGTTCCTAACTCTAATCAGAAGCCGAGTTATTTTGATTTTAAGTGTCGACTCGCGACTTGCGAGAGAGTAAATATTATGGTGTGGGCCTAATAACTCAACAACCTGACGTCTGATGCCTTTGAAACTACGTTCTATCCCACTCAATGTGATGATTCTGAACATTTTTATGCCCAAGTTTAGTTCCTAACTCTAATCAGAAGCCGAGTTATTTTGATTTTAAGTGTCGACTCGCGACTCGCGAGAGCATAAAAATAGGGTTCCGCCTAACAACTCAACAACCTGACGCCTGAGAACTTTAAAACCACGTTCTACCCCACTTAATGTGATGATTCTGAACATTTTTATGCCCAAGTGTAGTTCCTAACTCTAATCAGAAGCCGAGTTATTTTGATTTTAAGTGTCGACTCGCGACTCGCGAGAGCGTAAATATTATGGTGTGGGCCTAATAACTCAACAACCTGACGTCTGAGGACTTTGAAACTACGTTCTACCCCACTCAATGTGATGATTGTGAACATTTTGCTGCCCGAGTTTTGCTCCTAACTTCAATTGGAGGCTGAGTTATTTTGATTTTAAGCGCTGCAATCGCTACCCGCGAGAGCGTAAAAACAGGTTGGGGCCTAATAACTCAACAACCTGACATCTGAGGACTTTGAAATTGTGGTTTACCCTACTCAATGTGATGATTCTGAACATTTTAATGCCCAGGATGAGCACGTAGCTCAATCAGAAGCCGAGATATCTCGTATTTAGTGTGAAAATCATGACTCGCGAGGGTAAATAAGGGTGTGGTCACATAACTCAACAACCCGATGTCTGTTGACTTTAAAATTATGCTCTACCCCCCTAAATGTGATGATTCTGAACAACTTTAAAGCCAAGCTGAGCTTCTAATTCCAATTAGAAGCGGAGTTATTTTGATTCTAAAGTTGCAAAAGCGCCAAAAAAGGGCGTGGTCAATTGCGCAAAACTGCCCCATAGCCAAAATTTCTACCCAAGCCAAATTTGTTTCTAATGGGTCCCTTGAGGTATTCCAAGTCTCAAACCCCGGGGCGGAAGTTATATAGACGGGAATGTCGTCAGATCCATGACTATCATTGGCTCAAGGTGAAGAAGAGGATTGAGTTTAAGTTATGTTTACTGATTTTCAAAGCAGTCAATGGTGTTGCTCCTGCATATCTGTGTGATCTAGTAACATTTGTTAGTTCGAGTAGCAGAAGAACTTCCTCCTTACACCTACCTGTTGGATCTACAAGATCGCACCCAAGAGCGTTTCAGACTGTTGCTCCGAAAATCTGGAACCAACTACCAATTTGATTGAAATAAATTTTCGTGCACATACAGAATGAATGGTTAATAATTTAATATATATGTAGACCAAGGTCTGTACACGGGATGCTTCCTGGAAGAATCCAGTTCTTTTAGCGGGGCACCCTACCTAAAGCCAAATTGAGATATAATAATCATATTCCTAGAGAAATAATCAGAAATTCGAATACCAATCAAATAATATGATATATAGGAGTAGTAACCATATTTACTATGCAAAATGCCCCAACCACATAGTGTAAATTTATATAGAATTCAAATTCCATATCATCATTAAACCTCAATAGTCAATATAATAGCCCAAGCAAAATTAAATAACTTCTTATATACCTTACTGTCATACTACAAATTAATTAAACATTTGAAATCTGTTAACCAGAGAATAAATTTCTAAACCTAATGCAAGTGAAATAATTTAGATGCAATAATGAATGCCTAATGTGAGTATCATCTGTCAATGTCCTTGTAAAAAAGTCTGTAAAAGAGATATGAGTAACTAATATAGAAGAAAAAACAGGAAGTTGTCGTCTGTTGAAAAATAAATAAAATATCTAGAATATAAATTAGAATATAAAATAACATTCAGTCAATGTGTCGTCAATAAAATGTACAATTATCAAATGTTAAAACTGGGTGATACAGTCACCAAAAATAAATACTAAGTATAATAAGTAAATAAATTAAATGTGGTCTATAAAACTACCACTAGGTATAATAGGTCAATAAATTAAAAGTGGTTTATGAAACTACCACTGTGCGAACCCTTTCTCCAGTTAAAACATGTCAGTCATGTGCAAAATCAATCAAAATGGTAAGGTGGTAAAAAAGGGAAAATTCTTTCGATACATCAATTATATATGCCTCAGATTTAAAAGAATTAGAAGATACTTAGTTATCGGCGACTATGATTGCAGTGTAAAATTTGTCATATGAATTGTCGACGGTATAATTAGGGTCTGTTGTTATAGATGAGAGTAGCTGTTTCTTATACGAATCACTAAAGCTTTTAACATCGGGCAGATTTCGTAGATCTGTTGGAACATTATTCCAACATTTTGCCCCCAAGTATTGAAAGTTTTTATGTGATGTTGATCTATTAACATATAGGTTGCAGCTTTCGCCGCTCCTACTACCTCCTGATATGTAACTAAATTTGTTCATAAAGTTTGTAGGACAATTGTCATGGATGATTCTAAACATATAATTTGACAGATGGAGTTGCCGTCTAAGATGGAGTGGTAACCATTTCATGTCTCTATAAACATTAAGGCTGCTCTCTGTTTGTGGAACGTTGAGAGCTATTTTTGCTACCTTTTTGTACAGAGTGTCAAGTTCAGCAAGTTTTGTCTTGCCAGCTCTACAATAGATCGTGTCTAAATAATCGAATTGTGGCAACATGAGTGCATTGGCAAACATTTTCCTATATTTAATGGGTAGCAGTGCTTTACTTCTATACATGGCACCAATTCTCTTCATGACCTTCCTAATAATATAATCTACATGACTTTTGAAGTTTAATTTACTATCTAGAATGAGGCCACGATATTTTGTCTCTTTGCACTCCTTGATTGTGAAAGTTACCTCATTACATTCAATGGTTAATTCATCATGTTGATCAACAGA